TGTGTGTGTGTGTGTGTGTGTGTGTGTGTGTGTGTGTGTGTGTGTGTTAGGTTCTTATAATATATATGATACGAACCTTTTTTTTATTTTTTTGGCGGGGGGAAATCTTTATGGATACTCCTGAGCCCAGGGAGACTCAGTGGTTATGTGGGGACTCTCCCTCCATATGATACGAACCTAACACATTTCATACATACAACCTAACATAGTCATATATATAATATGTATATGTGTACAGAATATGATGATGGTTATCACTGTGACAAACAAGTTAAAAGATGCTCATGAAAATTCTTTTTGAAAACGAATATACTGGGAGACCTTCTGATGGAGTCTGTAATCTAATATTTTGACGCGTGTCTGATATAAATATCAAAAGTTCACAAATTACCCTTAATCTCCTTTACACACCTGCCTACAAAATATTTTCCCTGCCATGAATACTTTATGTTTCATACTTATATATAAACCACACATACACTTCACTCATTTATTACATACCTACACACACAAACACACATCTCTAAGCAAAACACGCATTCATCAACAATTATTATACAATCAGACAACTCCTTACACACACATATACATCTTTCACCTTATTACTTTCTTTCCAGTTACCTTGTCCACGTTTTATATTTTATATAATAACTTATTCACCTATACAGTTAATATTATAACTACATACCTTACATTCGAACTCCATGTTGATTCTCTATTCTGAGTTACTTTTTTACCGGCTCACCTTAGGACCTGGCAGAATCATCAGCGTTGTAGTTCGACTGAACTGCGGCATAATACTGAGTCAGACCCTTTTTGCTGACATAGTACACTCAACTCTATACCTGACACAACATAACACTTCAGGCCTTACCCGCACACGTAGGCTAGCCTTTTTCTTTATGTTTACCATTTGTTTGTAATGTACTGTGATTCAGCAAATAAACGAATTACCTATCTATCTAACTACGAAACTGAAAATAAAATTTATAAAAAACAAATTCACATCTTGGAAAACAAACTGGAGCTGCTGGAGAAAATCTCACGCAGAACGACTGTTAAGATACGTAGGTAATAACCCTAAACAAGAAGAAAATAAGCAAGCTATGAAAAATTCAACAATATAATTTGGCAACGTACTGAGATGAAACCACCCATACAAAACTCTGAATTTTGGGATGGATATAAAAAGGGAACAAATACTATTGTTTTGACTCTACGAGCAAACTGCGGAAAGAAGAAGACCTGCTAAAGACAGTTTAATCAAATAAGAAGAGAGGCCAAAAAACTGCAACTAAACACACAAACCACACACATATCGGAATCTCTTACTAATAAAGCTGGAAGAATGTATTACTATTATTAGGGAGTTGTTTAAAATAAGATAATAAGAGCGTGCTGGACGATGAATGGTAAAGTTTGCATTAAGAAAGAAAAGGGATAGACCCCAATCTGGATCGACGAAGAAAAAGACCTGCACACGTTGGGTAAAATGGGTACGGTTGAAACTGAACTTAAAATGTTTGCAAGGTAATAAAAGTTACATAAAAAATGAATTAAAGAAATATTTGTTAGATACATTGTAGTAATTTAGAAAGCTGTAATTGAGTAACAGAATGAAATGTTATGTGATTGTAATGTAAGCGTAGCAACCAAACTCTCCCGATAAACTTTTATGAAGTTTGGGAGAACATTATCTTATTTGTAAAAAAAATGTAATTGACAAGATAAATAAAAAAAAAAAAACAGAGCAAATATCTTTCAAACCGTATGAGGTGAAGGGTCCAAGGGGCGAACGAAGCGGACTACACAACCCAGCACAAACCACATTGTTTAAAAGTAATTAACATTTTTCTACACTTATGATCTTCTAAGATATTTTTTTAATATTAAAATTTAAATCTTACCAGAAATACTTCCTTCATTTCTCTTTACAATTTGATGAAGATCAACGCCTAAAAATGTCTTCTGTTTCTTAGGCACTGACGACGAAGAAAGATGCGCGGTATTCTTCGGCTGCACTACTTTAACTCTCATAGCCATCTTGTATGATCCAGGCATTGATGTACAATATTCAATTAGCATAATTATTAGGAAGACTTGGGGCACTTTCATTTTCGTAGTGTGTGTGGCAGCAGGTGGATATATTAAGCCTTGTTCTTTAGTTCCCCTAGTATTCAGTAGGATTGCTGTTAAATAAAAAAAATATTGTGTTATGTATTGTACTGACAAAGTGCTTTTTACCTTTGGTATCACCGGTACCTTAGCCATTCAGCTGCCCCATAATAAAAGCTTTAGACAAAATTTAAAAGGAGAGGCCAAAAACACAAATCGTAGCTCTGAAACTGCTGTCCTTTTAATGTTAAAAAGTAATATAATTCGGTAGTGTACCGTAGTGTACATTCCGTAGTTTTAAATTAAATATGATTTTATCATAATTATGATAAAATCACAATCGTAGTGGTATACATTTTAATTAAAATGCATTCTATGAATATTTGCGAAAATAATATGGATACATATTTATAAAAAACCAGGAGTGTTTTCACTAGTTGTAGTTTTTACTTTTCTTTGAAACAAATGTATACCTTTTTTAAAACGATGTCATGATTACGTATTTTTGAACAAATCAGATGGTACTTGTTTTTAAAATATCTAATATTATATTTCGTATATACATACATATATATACGAAAATGTATGAGCGTTTACTTTTCATTGCACGCGACTGTACATACGTAAAGTTACAGGATTAGCGAAAATCAAAACACAGCATTTGCTAGGTAAATAAATAAATAAATATTTTTAATACCTGTCAGTAAAGTTTGTTATCCATTCATTGCCACAATTCAGATTACCTAGTCAGGCGCTATATCTACTTTAAAATCTAGCAAGTTTCAGATACTTTCCATGTTTTGAATAGGTAAAAAGTGACATGATTTTTTTTTCATAACACCAAGTGACGGGACGAACAAGTCCTGCGCCTGATGGTAAGCTACACTCCTGTCCATAACAGTTGCAGTGCCACACAGTGTTTTAAATCGCAAAGATCTGAGGGGCACTGCCACTGCGCTCGTCACCCTGAGACATAAGTTGACAAGTCCCATGTGCCTGTAATTTCGCCAGCACCTTACCCTTCAAAACCGTAACACAGTAATGCTGATATTACTGCTTGGCGGAATAAATAGGTAAGGTGGCAGTACTTCCCTGGGCGAACTCTTTCACAAGGAGCTCTACTGCGCCTCCAGGCAATCTTAGGTTAGAACTTTACGAGTTGGAAAAGGGTGTACAACCAAAGAATATTTTGTAATCAGTGTTTTAAATAGATCAACAATCAACTACTCATCAATAAAGTAAATATAAAAATAATAATAATAAATACATATATAATTATTATACATTTCAATTGAAATGTATGCATAAATAATATCACAATAAAATTACTTAAATACTTTGACTTGTCACGAATAGGTGTGCCTTACTAGGTTTTAATTGCAGAATTTTGAAGCGGCTGTTACCGCAATTAAGGAGTACTTACTATGGGAGTATTCCGTTAAAAATTATTTTCAAAAAATTTATTTCCCTTTCTAGGTTTTGCTCTGAAGCAGCCGCATTAGGTTGTCAACGAAGCTAAAGGTAGCTCTTTTCAAGTCAACACTAAAATTAGAGAACTTCTGTACTTTGAAACTATTTTATTAAGGGAGATTTACATTTTTAAATTGTTTCTGGTCTTAATAGTGCCCCGGATTGAATTCCGTTGTTTTTGTTCTCATAGTCTAGAGAATTCTCTTCTTGAGACCATGTATATGTGCGGTTGGCTGACACTATTATTGTTAAAATTTATAAAAAAAAAAATATTTTCAGACACTTGACTTCTCCAGAATTTCGCGAATTTATAAAATATCGGCTCCTACTTATAATGTAAAAAATAACTTGGTCTATTCTGACGTCAATGTCATGGACATGAACATATAACAATCATCGTCATCTTCGCCATCCACCCGTTTATACGTCTCTCTACTGGGCACGGGTACTTGCCCAATGCGGGGTGGGGACTTCACACGTTTCCCAAGTGTCGTGAACCTTCTTCAACGTGCAAGTTTCATCACGATGTTTCCATCATCGGTGAGTGCTCTGAAGAGTTATTCAACCTTATCCCTTCCTCTCCTTTCCATCAGCGGACCACCCGTGCCGGACTGCGTTGCCACAGTTGGACGGTCAGTTCAATACCGTCCCGCACTAAAAAGTTTGGCAATTCGTTCTTATGCCGAACCATCAAATTGTGGAACCAACTCCCGGCGCATGTATTCCCTCCCCTCTATAACATCGGGTCGTAGTGTGAAGAAGCATTTGGCCAGACCGGCAAAATGATAGTGACGGAGTGAAGATATTTGTGTTTTCCATCCGTTACTCTCATCTCTGGACTGTATTCGCACTTTCCATCAGGCGCGGTGCAGTCATTTTGCCGAGTCACAATAAAAAAAAAAAAAAAAAAAAAAATCACCAAAAAGCTCATGGTAAATTTCACAAAACGCAGAGGTGCGACCCCGGATCCGAACATACGGCCTCTGTTTGAGCCGTGGTAGGTCAAAGCATTGGGCTACCACGGCTATTTATATGTATATAACAATACATGATTACAATTGTGCACTTTATTGCTATATAATCACCTGGAAGTCGACAGTATCACTTCAAAATTCTTGAAAATAATTATTGCAGCACCATGACAGTGACAAATTGCACGCAGAACTGAGAGATAAAACCAAAAACGTTGTAAATGCTATATTTACTATAAAATTACGTTAAAGAACGTGATTTTGTATTGACGTCTTTAACCGGCAAAATTTGGACGCATATTGGCTTCAATAACAATATGAACAAATTGAGAGTGACAATTTGATTGTAACAAAATGGACCAAGGCGACCTGGTTTGGCCCCTTTGAAAGATTATTACCTACAGTATCGTAGTATCCTTAGACCGGTTACACACGGTTTTTAGTAGGCTTACAAAACGCGCGTTTATGAAACGCGATTGCATCGTGACACTTGCAATTTATAGGCGATTGCATCGATGCAAACGCGCGACTAACAATAGAGCTCCTTGTGAAAGGTTTGTCCAGGGAAGTACTGCCACCTTACCTATTTCTGCCGGCAAGCTGTAATGTCAGCATTACTGTGTTCCAGTTATGAAGGGTAAGTAAGAATGCTGGTGCAATTACAGACACAATGGACTTGTCAACTTATGTCACAGGGTAACGGGCGCAGTGGCTGCGCTCCTCAGATCTTTGCTATTTAAAGCTCTGAGTGGAACTGCAGCTGTTATGGACAGGCGTGTGACAGCTTACCATCAGGCGCATGACCTGTCCGACCCGTCACTTGAGATTATAAAAAAGAAAGTCATTATATGCGACAAATCTTTACCTATAGCATTGTGCACATTGTTTTATTTTGTTAATTGTAAATTTAAAAGTGAAATAAAGTAATAATTAAATAGATAAATGAGTTAAAAAACTGCTCATAGTCGCCGTGTGTAATCGCTCTTATGTGTTTACCAATAAAATTATTGTGTTCCAGACAATCAAACTACTTATCTGGCTTAAAAGTAGAAAATTCTCTGTATACTCTGAGTACAAGCGCCATTGACCAGAGCAACCAAGATCACTCTTCCTTGTTAAGAGGGCACCGAGTTTCTGGCGCTTATTGATTTTACGTATTCTATACGCTCCATGTTTGTGTCCGTGTGGCATACGTTTTTAAAGCCGTGTTTAATAAGCCTTAGAGGATGGAAAAAAGTTTCCATAGTCTAAGGTATAAGCCCAAGCGACATAACCCCCACGTCTGACGGCCGAGGCAGGACTAAAGCGGACAGGGGGAAACGTGGCGGCTCTGGCAAGTATGAGCGGACTGCGTGCGAAATTTAGGTATTTCGTACGTATTATTAAAACAATACGTACACATTTTGAAAATGTATAAAAACGTAGTTTTGTTATTATTGAAAAACTGACGACCTTCCGTGAAGTATTTATGCCGTACCAAGGATTTATTTTGTTTTTTAGATATAAGTACGGATTACTTTCTGTCGAGGAAACTACAAATAATCGTGTTTCTAAAGAGTACGATTTATAGAGTCAATCCATAAATATCTTATACATTAATCTTATAACTAAAGCTTTAGTAATAACGATAAGGAAGGGATCAAACGAACTCAAGTATTTCGCAACTACGCCTCGGCACAGTCTTAATTATACCCTATCGTATCCCTTTACGTAGAATGTCTTTGAGAGAAAACTTTAAAGATATTAATATTCTTAAACTACATCGTTATAGAGTACATTTATTTCAGCCGCTACTGTCCCACTGCTCTTCCTTTTCTCCATTGATCGCGATTTAACACCGCTACAGTCCAAGACCTCCTATAAGAATCTAATTCGTCTATTTCTATTTCTTCCTAGGTCTTCCACGTCTCCGTCTTGCGTTTGGTGGGATCCACTCTTAAGTGATCTTTGCCCACAGCTCCCTTGACATGCGTCAGATATGTCCAGCCCAGTTCCATTTGAGGCTGGTGGCTTTTGACCAACGTTAGCGATTTGTGTTTTGGAGCGCAGTATACTGTTACGTACGCGCTCTGAGAGTACGTGACGTACTCCCAAGATATTGCGCTCCATTCCTCGTTGACACGCCCCTAGTGAGTACTTCTGAAATTTACTATATAGACCCATATATTTTTACAATGTTATGAAAGGATTCCAATGTTTTGCCTTCACCCGTAAAGCAGGCGAATATTAATTATAATTATACGAGATCCAAAATTAAATCATGGGGTCTACTCTCGATATCCGTCCGAAACAATTACTGCCAAATAAGCAATACTTGACCAAATGAAAAGACGCGTGATGCGAATGAAGCTTCATACTGGATACTTGTCTTTTAATCTTGTCGAATATTACTTGTTTGACAGTAATTGTTTCGGACGGATGTCGGACGGAGATCGAGAGTAGACCCCCATAACCTTGTCCTTTTAAGTGGCGCGTACTACCACAGGGCATTATTTTAGTTCCAACTCTGTTCACGCATTACTTTATATTAAGACAGTTGCCAAGGCCAATGTTAAATCAATACCGAGTTCAAAGCCTGCCAACTAAATGATTCAGTGTCGTTTTTCGTTAATGTTACATGAATTTTAGTTATTTCATTTTAAAGTAATAATTAATTTTATATAAAATGATGACTAAAATTAAATCCAAGGAACCTAATGTTTATTTTGGACATCCCATTAAATTTTGGAAGGTATGTAATAATTTTCCATTGGTCTGTGAGATGCAGAATTTGACAGTCGTGAAGCTTTGCAAGAAACTTGCGGACATAACAAAACCAGAGGAGAACGCATTCGATATTTCAATTCATTTTCTGTATGACGCTCCAGACTGTAGAGCGAGCTAACATCTTACGATAACTATTAAAAGAGAAAGACTGTGTAATAAAAATTACAGTTACAAATTCCTACACTGTACTAAGCAAAAGGATAACTTTAGAAATAATTATATTGTTAATATTTATAACTAAATTGCAGGAACGGCAAAGACGTGAGTACGACGCACCACTCGATATAGATGAAATAAAGAAACTGGACGATATTGTAAGATTTGATTCTACGCATCTACAGAAGTAAGTAGAGCTCCTTGTGAAAGAGTTCGTCCAGGAAAGTACTGCCACCTTACCTATTTCTGCCGCCAAGCAGTAATGTCAGCATTAATGTGTTCCGGTTTTGACGGGTCCTTACCCGTAAATTTTGAAGGGTAAGGTGCTGGTGAAATTACAGGCACATGGGACTTGTCAACTTATGTGTCAGGGTGAAGGGCGCAGTGGTAGTGCCCCTCAGATCTTGCAATTAACAACTGAGTGGCACTGTGACTATTATGCACAGGCGTGTAGCTTAACCATCACGCGCACGACTTGATGTTATAAAAAATACCTACACTTAGTAAGTTTTAAAGTGGATACTGGATGGAAATTCCCCATGAACATATTAATAGAAACAGCGTATTTGATGTTGTTTGTTTTGAGTTTACTTGTGCATAGGTACATTGTGTAGTGTGTCGTTGAACAATGTTTCGTTAACTACAATGCAACGTCTTTGCAGGCTAATAATAAATAGAACAGAAGAAAAAGTGAAAGAACTTCTAAATTTTGAAGAAAAGAAACTCTGACAAAGAAGAGAACGGCTTCATGGCCTTCTTAGAACAGAAGAAGAAGCCTTAATACAAGAAATGGTAACAAAACAAGAGATGGAGGAGTGCGGGTTTTGTAAAGAAAAAGATAAGAAAATTGAGAATTACGAAGAAGCGATAGAAAGAGAGACGGAAAGGGAGTGCCAGAAGGCTTTGGAGAGAGAGAAAATGTTAGTACTTTTGTCGATAGTGTTTGAAGAACTTATTATTATGTTAATTCCATTTTACTTTTGTGTTTTTTATTTTTTAGTTTTAGTTTTGGATACATCAAAGATTTCAATCCATTTTATGATAATTTCAAGCTTGAGATCTGAGTCGAATTTTTGTCAACATGTTTCGAACCAGTGCGTGGTCCTTAGTCAAGCGATTCCGCGGCGGCGACTCGACGGAAACCACCCTCAAATACCTTCGTTTGCTTCATTCTTATTGAAGTCATACGCAAAATTGCACACTACACTAACAACGTCACTTTCTAAAGTCTCATCCACACTAACCACTGACGTACCTGACACTGTTCGACTTAAATACGTGACTTATCTAGTATGTCTTATTATCTAGTATCTCTTAGTTTAGCTAGTATGTCTGAATCTCACAATGATTTTCATTTGTACACTCAAAGAGTACTGTCAAAAAGACGCAAACCTAAAATTTAGGTATGTCTCCTACATGTATACAAAAACTACACGTGTCATTTGAAATTTTCAGAGCAAGGGGCATCACAAGTTCAAGAGCTGACGAGATTTATCTTAGAGAGATGCAGAGAATGCAAATGATCGAAAAAAAAATGGTTGAACAAGAGCATCGGAATTCGGAAATGATGTGGCATCAGGTACTGATGGATAACGTTAGGAGAAAGGTAAGTCTATCTATTGATCAGAAATCGCATTCTGTCAAAACAATCTCAGAGCACTGATTATATTTTGTTTATACTTGTAGCGGTAGAGTTCCTCGTGAAAGAGCTCGTCTAGGAAAGTACTACTGCCACCTTTTCTATTTCTGCCTCCAAGCAGTAATGTGAACAATATCTACTGCGTTTCAGTTTTGAGAATGTACTGGTGAAATTACAGGCACATGGAACTTTTCAACTTATGTCTTAGGGTGATGATGGGCACAGTGGCAGTGTCCCTCAGATCTTTGCAATTGAAAGCTCTGAGCGGCACTGCAACTGTTATGGACAGGCGTGTCGCTTACCACCATCCCACGACTTGTTCGTAATGTCTCTTGGTATCATAAAAAGAAAATATTAAAACAACAATTAATCATTTTCAAAAACACTAACTTGAAACTTGTACCTTTGTTTATTAGCCTCTGATTTATTTCCCGTTATTATAGAGTTTATTCCTTGTCAATAAAAGAATACTGAAAGTAGTATCTGCAATACAGACAGTTCCAAATTTTTCTAACTCCACAAACTTGTAAACTAGAATAAAAGATTAGTGTAGATATAAAAACCTATTTCAGGAAAGAAAAGAACGCAAAGACTTCGAAAAAAGGCAAAAAGATATGTTGGATCGACGCAGAGCTTACGACGAGCAAATAGCAAGCGCCAACAGAAAGAAACAAGAGGCTATCAAACAGGAAAGAGAGAAGGAAAACAGAAACATTGACCAGATACTTAAGAAAATGGACCAAGAACATAAAGAAGGTATTTTGAAAGTTTATTTTTTATGTAAAGTAGGAGGCAATGAGCAGACGAACCACTTGATGGAAGGTAGTCATCATTGCCTATGGACATCTGCAACATCAGATGAGCTGCCTAAGCGTGTAAACAGGGCTCTCAAAGGCTGCCAGCCTTTGAGAGCCCTGTTTACACGCTTTTTGAAGAACATAGGTACATAAGTGTCGTGGCGTAAAGCAAATTCTTTAGGAGGGAGACCATTCCACATCTTGCAGGTTTGAGAATGGAACGAACATAATGTCCGCATAGTCTTACAATGCCAGGCCATAATGATGTGGGAATAGTCTCATTTTCGGCTAATGTATACATTTTTTTAAATGTTGAAGGGCTCCATATTTATAATTATTATTTATTGTTTAAAACTTACCGGGCTCATGTGACATTGTGGACAAACGTAAGCCAATCACATTAAAAAAGTCAGATGGGGATGTGTTGGCCGTTTGTGTAAGGTGAAACGTTGACGTTACTAATCTCTTTCGTTACATTACAGTCCGAATTTCTATCAAGGAGCGCCCATTTCTGTCTCATTTCACAATAAACGCTTCAGGTTAAAAAATAAAGTACATAACTATCTATATACACGACTAACATACTCACATTGGCCTAGTATTGCATCAGCTTACTGAAAGCCGTTATTATTCTGGCTTATCGTAGTACCAGAGCACCAGGTAATTTTGTTATTAATAAATACATATTTACAATTAACTTATACCTCACAGTCCCCTAAATATACTTTAAATAAAACGAAAAGTAGGTAATTCAGTTTCTTGTACGCCAGACTGTTTCATCACCATGATATTCAATTAATTTTTGTGAAATTACTGCACTAGTTTATTATAATTTTAATACAAAGTCAACACTTAGATCCGACTGGATTCGAACCAGCGCGCAGCGTCTCCTAACAAACCGTGGTAGACGATATGTCAACTATGCCACGGAACGAACCAGCGGACCTTACGAATTTTTCTGTGTGCTTGTTGCACATCTTTGTTTTTGTTTTTAAAAACTTTTTTGCCACCGCCGTCATCGAATCCAACCGGATCAAAGGATTTTTTTCTAAGTGTTCAATCTTTGTATTATAATTATAAAAAAGTGGATAAAACTGCAATCTGACACATTTACATACATATCTATATAAAAAAATGAAAACAAAACAACATAATATGCAGCACTACGCGTATAAATGCAACAATGCATACAGAGGTAACGAGACGCCGTTGTGTACGCAACAAAATACGGACAGTTATTGAATATTTACGTATTCATTGTACAATATTTAATTAGCATCTCAACTTTAGCCAATACTCTAAATCACCATCCATAATTAAGGTATGGTATAACGGACTGGTGTCCACAACTCGACATCCAAGCGCCTATTTTGCGTGTAGTATCCACAAGTATTTATTTTCTTTCGTTCCGTAGAAATAAGAAGAAAAAAGGAGCAACAACTAATAAACAAGAGCAACTACAAAGAAGGACACGAAATGAAAGTATCAAGGCTTTTGCGTGAAAAAATTAAGGATAGGAAGATAGACGACGGAGCTATCGAAGTTGCTTTGAAGGAACTAAGGAAGGAAAGACTAAGAAAAGAAGCCGAAATGGTACGTTTTCAACTTCTGAAAAGTGCGAGAAAGTAGTTAGATAGGTACAATAAAATATTCTTAAAGTGCCTCTCCACTTTTGGAGTTTGGCCGTCAATGTAGTGAATTTGTCCCTATGCTTGGCCAAACGAAACAAAATATGGTACCATGCTACAAGTATGAATACACTTCCGCCATGTTACAATATGATACAATAAGGGGCAAAGACTTAGAGCATATACGACGGGAGGCGCTATTAGCGATATTTCTCGAACAAAACTTTCTGTCGAGGTGGAGTAATACTACAAGCAAACAGATGCACTCAAATGCAATATTGAGTTATGTCACTATGATCTCACACAAACAAAAGTCTACAACGCTAGCTTATTTTTACAAATACACAGATAAAGCACACATGCATGTCATGTCAAAAAAAGCGATTTATTTATTATATTACATATGGCTTACTCATTAGTATCCAAACACAAAAGTAATTCTTAAGCTAATATCATAAACTGAAATAACAATGTAATCATTTTTTTTTTAATTGATACAAATTAAATTGAATGAAAATTTTATAAATCACTAAATTAGATATATTGCTTAAAATAAAATGAACAAAATTTAGACAAATCATTAAATTGGAATTGGAATCGATTGTCATGATTATGCTAGAGACGGAAAAGCTAATGACGTGATAGTGTCAATGTGTATTACGTACTGGTTAATGACATATATGAAAGGTATTTCCACCCTTGGCTAGACTGGGTGTAGCGGATTTCTACTTGCAATTTTGTATGGCACAGTGCAAGACGGCATATTTCGTGGAGCACTTGCCTCGATGAATTCAATAATGGAAATGAAGAAACATCGATTCGAAAGTAATGTTTATTGTGCAATGGATTTTTTTTACTTATACCTTGACAGAGGGGACTGCCTATCGATGACGCCTCCAGCCCTATATGCTCTAAGGGGAAAGTTAACCTACAAAGTCCTGGAGCTCATTTTTGACAGCTTCTCGGGAACTAAATTCTATTCCTTGTAGATTATCTAAATTGCGGAAAATACAGTCTGTAGGGCCAAGTCAGGTGAGTATTGAAGGTAAATTTGTTCCACCGTAAGTGCTCTGACGTTATCGTCCAGAAGTAGTGAAGATGGGATGACAATTTCGTAGTAGTTGCCCCTTTCCTTTACGAGGCGCAAATGGGCAAAGTTATTTTACATTTTGTTCCAGCGACGTCTTCAACTTGAAAAGCAAATCTTCACAGACTACCATAGTCGTGAGAGAAGATTAGCATCAGAATTAGAAGAGGAGGCAGAAAGGATAACGCAAGAGTGGAAAAAAGATGCAGAAAAGAAAGCCGACGAACACACAAGACAAATTGAAGAAGCAAAGAGAATGAACAAAGAGGTTTGTAAACCGTTATTCTTATAACGTAAATAATTATAACTTTTTTATTTAAAAAAACGACCTTGAAAGTTTGTGGAATTGCCACGGTCCCGTGCCAATCTCATCCAGGTCCGCCCCGCAATTCCTGCAATGTCGCCCGCCCATCTCGCCGCTGCGCGCTAGGCGCCGGATGTTCCTTTAGCCAGCCAGTCCTTTGTTTGCATTACATCTACTTATTTGCCAAGTTTTATTGAAATCGGTTAGCGGGAAGTGGGTGAAATCCAATAAAGCGGATTCATCGCCTAATTTGCCAACCTTAGAGGTGGAATATTTATTCAAATCTGAATGAGATCACTACTGAGGTACCTTTTTTTGAATAAAAAAATGGGTTCATAAATATCAGATACCCAAAAACAATCTACAGTTGAATTAATCTCATCCTTTTTTTGTAGTCGATTATAAAGATTAAACATCTTTGACTGACTTATCCACGTTTCGACAAAAATGGGAACTATTGGTACGCCTTGAATAACTCCACAGTATTGTCAGATTTATACTATGGTTACTCGCACAGGCGCTAATCACAGATAATTTGGTGGATTTGTACTCTGCATGGTATCATCACACCTCCGTCTGCACTGGAACCAACTGCTTCTTCTTTTACCTGTGATGCTTTTGTCGGTCTAGCGCCCTATACGTTTCTCTACATTACACTCCGTTCTGAACCACGATAAGCACGACAATTTGTTTTTATTTTATCATTTTTATTATTTTATTTTTAATGTATCGTCACTTTAATCGAGACATAATATTCGTAATAGAATGTAAATTATGAACAAAATATATCATCTAATTCAAAAAGAAGATCTTTGTAACCTTTACTGCAAAGGCGAACTTTTTTGTCTTTATATTTAGACAATTTCTAGTGTAATTATTTAAATAGCCGTGGTAGCCTTAATGGTTTCACCTACAGCCTCTCAAGCAGAGGCTGTGGGTTCAAGTCCGGGCTCGTACCTCTGAGATTTTCGGAATTTAAGTGCGACATTTAATTTGAAATCTACCATGAGCTGTTCGGTGAATGAAAACATCGTGATGAAACCTGCACGTCGAAGAAAGACTCACAGCCCTCGGAAACCCCAACCCCAATAGGGCCAGCGTCTACTACGGCCTAAAACCAGGACGAACTTTTTGACAAGGAGCTCTGTTGGTACTAAAAGCATACTTTAAAAATGGTTTCCAGAAAGCAGCGGAAGAATACAGACAGCATCTGGAACAAATAAATAAGCACTTAGAGAGGGAGCGCCACGAACGAGCTGTCAAAATGGAAAAAGTGAAAAGAGGCGCCTTCAAAGAGTTAGAAATGAAATTGGACGATGCTTACACGGAGCTACAGAGACAAATGGAGTATAGGAATACTTTGAGCGACCAAATACGGGAAAATCAGAAAGTGTTGGTAAGTTGGTCATGTTACAAGATTCATTTATCAAATATACTGGTTCACCACCATCTATACCTACAAGATAAATAAGAAAAAAATTCAGTGAGGTTGAATTATAAAAATGTAGGAATGTAGACTTACTTTTCGATGCAGCAAATTTAAACTCTGTAATGATTTTAAATAGAAAACCACCATGAGACTTAGACATATTAACTAAATAAGGGATATCTCATGTATTAAGTCGAATTTTTGCTCGACATGTTTCGAGCCAATTCGTGGTCCTTGATCATAAGATTCCGCGGCGGTGACTCGACGGCGACCGCTGCGTATGACTTTAATAAAAATGAGGCAAACGAGGGTAGTTTCTCGCCGACGCCGCCTGCGCCCGCAGCCGTACTGAGTGACCTGGCTGCCAGGGCTTTGGCGCGTAGTTTCTAGTGTTGGGTAGGGTCATGAAATTAAAATGAGTTTGAGGTAATACTTCATTTGAAAAAATGAGGCATTACAATGTCCTACTTCAAATGAGATGAGATAGTGGTAAGAATATTTGCGTCTACGGCAATGACTTAACAGACGGGAGACGGCTTAATATTTAAGCAAACTTTCATAACTTGACGGTATCAATCATTTGGGTAACTTAAGTGTTATGATATAGTATAAATAAATGCTACATTTATTTAGTACAGTGGTAGTATGATCATATGATGTAAAATCAGCTAGAAAGCGGGCCGTGCAGGACCAATCATTGTTGCATTTGTTAAATTCGAAGCAGTGTGACATGAGTGAGGCTATGACATGAGGTGACGTGTAAGGTGGGATATTCTTATGACATGAGGTGTTGTGACAAACTAACCAAGCGAGTGCTACAAAAGAGTTGCCTCGTTTATGAGTAACTCAACACTAGCAGTTTCTGTCGATCGCCGCGGAATCTCATGATTAAGGACTAGGAATTGGTTCGAAACATGTACGTTAGTTATCTGTTATGTTAGTTAATATGTTATGATTGTTTACAGCTGAGTTACATCCCTTCCATATTTAGTGTATGGTATATAGTCCACGGTACATACTATTTAAACTATTTAAACCATTTAGTTACCACACACAATAATACCAAACAGAACATATAACAATACTAGCGGGACTACAACAGTGCGTGGAAGGAACAGGTTCAGTTTAATCCTTGTGGCTGCGTGTCATGCGGTACTAATTTTCAGCCTGGCCTTGTTGACTCATTGCTTTTATAAAATAACCAAATTCAATAACACCGCCGTCACGATAAGCATCGAATATTAATAATTCTACCTGTTGAAATTATTCCAATGCCATTTATTAAATTATTATTTTTTTAATATAACTATGACTATGTACGACCAATTTACATTTATTGAACAATAGTAATAAAATAATAAAGATAAAAAAAAATCAGACTATTCTCGATTTTACTTACACTCGCTCCCTGTCCGCTCTGCCTAAACTAATAAGAGGAAGAAAAACACAATTTGTCTCACTTAAATTAAAAAGACATTCCTCCCGTTTTGTTCATCCGAATTTGCCACGTTATATTGTACTTACATTACTTTTTGCCGCTCTAATGATTATCTTTTCGTGTGCGTCTTAGCTACTAAAACAATAACAATTCGATAAACATCTTTCCTTTCCTTATTCTATTTTTATAATCCAAAAGCAAACAAGAGTGTTTGTCACTCATCATTATCATATCAGCCGGAAGACGTCCACTGCTGAACATAGACCTCCCCCAAAGATTTCCAGACCAGCCGATCGGACGCGTCGTGTATCCATCGGTTACCCGCCGCCCTTACCAGGTCATCCGTCGATCTAGTAGTGGGCCGTCCCACTGAACGCCTTCCTGTTTCGTGGTCTCCATTCAAGAACTTTTCTGCCCCAACGGCCGTCAGTTCTGCGAGCTATGTGCCCTGCCCACTGCCACTTCAGCTTGCTAATCCTTCGAGCTATGTCGGTGACTTTCGTTCTTCAAAGGATCTCCTTATGTCTGATTCGATCACGTAGAGAAATGCCGAGCATTGCTCGCTCCATAGCTCGTTGGGTAACTTTGAGCTTTTTTATGAAGCCCATAATAAGTGACCACGTCTCAGAGTCGTAGGTCATCACTGACAACACGAAATGCTCGAAGACTTTTGTCTTCAAGGACTGCGGTATTGCGGACGCGAAAGACGTCCCGGAGCTTCTCGAAAGCTGCGCAACCGAGCCGGATTCGACGATTGACCTCTTTCTCGAAGTTGGCCCTGCCTAATTGGACGGTTTGTCCGAGGTAGACATACTCGTCAACAACTTCGAAAGTAGAGGTTCCTACTGTTATAGGGGTGGGTACGACATGGATATTCGACATAAGTTTCATCTTGTCCATGTTCATTTTTAGACCCACCTGCTGGGAAACTCTATTGAGGTCATCGAGCATGGTGCCAAGCTCTTCCAACGATTCTGCTATGACCACAATATCGTCAGCAAATCGAAGGTGAGTGATGTACTCGCCATTGATGTTGATGCCGAGCCCTTTCCAGTTCAGTAACTTGAAGGCATCTTCCAATGCAGTGGTGAACAGTTTTGGAGAAATGACGTCTCCCTATCGCACTTCTCTTTGCAATTGGATAGGCCTTGTGCACTGGGTCCTGGAGTCGAACTGACATAGTGGCGTTTCAGTACAAACACTTCAACACTTCAACACTTCGATATATCGATAGCCAATGTGGCACCGTTGTAGAGGCCGTAGCTCCGCCCAAATCTCGATCGTATCAAAGGCTTTCTCATAGTCCACAAACGCTAAGTATAATGGCAGGTTACACTCCTCGGTCTTCTGTATAACCTGCCGCAGCGTGTGGATGTGGTCTACGATAGTGAAGCCCTTTCGGAAACCGGCTTGTTCGGAGAGCTGGAAATCATCGAATCTGCGCGTGAGAGCTCGTGATAACTCGTGAAAATAGCTTATAAACGTGGCTCAGAAGCGAGATAGGCCTGTAATTCTTCAATAGAGTTATCTCCCTTTTTGAAGAAGAGTTTCACCACGCTTCTATTCCACGTTCCACGTTTTGCTTTCAGGAAAATGAATTAATAGACATAGAAAATAAACAACGACCATTTACAAGGAAAGCTGATATGTTTAAGGACTGCATGGAGACTAAAGTTGCCAAGGCACCAGGGAGAAAAAGGTAACATTTAAATCTTATAATAATTAATTATTCCGATAAAGACTGACAAATTAAATTATTGCTTCAAATAATTAAAATAAAAATAATAGATTATATCTTCTAATTATCTTTTTTAATGTTTTTTGTCGGTTTTCGACGCCTTAAGCGACAACTGTGAGAGATTTGTGAACCTTCTCACTCAGCTGGTAACTTTCCAGTTACCACAACCTGACGTTGATGACACTTTTATGAAATTGTATTATTAATTTTTTTTTATAGAATTTTCACGGTGTTTAACCGAAAAATTCAATAAAAAAGATGAAATTATCTCCATAATTTCAAAAGTTATCTTAACAAAAATATTTTACCAAAACCGACCTCAGAAAATTGTGGAATTACATCTATTTGCCAAGTATAAAACAAAGTCAAAGTCAAATAATCATTTATTCTTTATGTAAAATAAATGTACACTTGAAAACGTCACATTTATAAGCTACTGCTCGTTGACCTTGTTCGTAAACTTGAATTGAAATCGGTTAACGGAAAGTGTCACCCTTAACGTCTAGTTACACGAGGCGAAAGTTTTCGCGTTTTTAAGTTTTCTCCCAGTTACCACGCTTTCATGTGCATTAATGGCGAACCTCAATTCTATTTACTAGGCAACAACGGCTAAATAAATAGAGCGCATTTTGCCATGACAGTTAGACGCACGCGGTCGCTACGCGGCGGCAAAGCGGATTCCACTCGGCGACTCAACCGCGCGGTGGCGTTCGTTCACACCAATTCGTGTCGAATAAATGCCATAGAGGTGGAATAAGAAGTACCAACAAAAAAATCGAAATGTTGTAAACGCGTAACATACACACGAAAAAAATACAGTCGAATTTTGAGAACCTCCACATTATTTTGAAGTCGGTTAAAAATACCTTCATATTCTTCACAAAGAGGGCAAAATATTGAAAAACTAATGATGCAACTTCATTTAAATATGTACCTACCTAAACTAAGTTGATATTTAATATTTTGTTCTCTTAATCTTATTTTATGGACTTGCTAGGTTTATTCCACAAATCCTCACTAGTGGGGATCGTAAGCTTTTATTCCACAAATCCCCACCAACGAAGTACAGTCAAGAGCACGTCAATCTTGACACTTTGTACTTTGGACCGTTCTTCGTGATCGCTCGATCGTAAGCGGCATAGAATATTTAAATCTTAAATGTGTAACTTGATGTGCTCTTGCCCTGTATGTAGTAAAATAAATCCCATCAAGATATTGTCATGATTCCCTTAATTTTAAAGAATATATTCTAGTTGCATATTATTTTTGGCGCCATAAGTATTATTTTTATGTACTTGTGGCGCCACTGATGCTCGATTTTGATTGGTTGTTATACTGACCAATCAAAAGCGAGTATCCATTGGAGGGAAAAGAAGTAGGGGTAGAAGGGAGGAAAAAGAAAAAATGCGGTGGCGAACAGTCTTGTGGGCTGCTCGTTCGAAAGAAGTCGAATATAAAAGTTGATTATTAAATTAAGTAATTAGGAAAAATAATTAGTGAACAGAAATTGTGAATTTGGAATTGTAGACCTTTCTACGAAGTGACAACGAATAAATAAGTTTAAATTACTACATTGGAGTTTTTATTCTTAAAAATATTATGATTAAATAATATTGAATTACCTTAAATGTGTACTCAAACAATTTGCTTATCGTTCTCCTTGAACTCCTAAGAAAAGTCAACTCCGTTCTACTACAAGTATGTTCAAAGTGTCTTGTAGTCTATATTCATCATAATATAACAATATATTGATCATAAAGTACAAGTTCTTTTAAATTATAAATGTATTTTGTTGGGTTGTATACGGAAACACACGAAGAACGATTATTTTATTTTATTAAAAATGGAAATAAAAAAAAAGTTAATTCGAGCTCGACTGTTAAAAAAATAACATATTTACAATAATCGACTGGAACATTTACAAAACTAAAACATTACATTGAAAAATGTAAACAATTAGCAAAATCATCAAGACGTAAACATTTAACTTTGTTCACATTAATCATTTAAATGTGAGCGAATAGAAGCACTGTTCACGATTTCAGAATTATTTTATTAATTATTTTTGCTACTATTTTAAACTTTAGTTACAGCTAGACTGTTTCTTAGAAAACTCAGGTATTTTTATTAATCGACTAGAATATCCTTATAAGACTAAAACTTATGAAACTAAATTAATTAATCTGTGTCGTAATCGTAAATTGACGGGACATTAGCGCTGAATGTCAATGTAGTACGGCAAACACCTAATCTATCACCTACAATTTAATATACCTGATACATAAAATAATATCTTGGTGGAGACGATTTCCACAAATCCCCACTGCGTAGCAAGTACTGAATTAGTGGGGAATAGTCAAATAAAATGGTTTTTTTTTTTAGTACGAACCCCGTCCACCCATTCAGAAGAGTCATAGAAAATGATCAAAGAAGGAGCGATCACACAGCTATACAATTACCTCTTATTGGAAAGCGTTTTAATCATTAATTTGAAAAGCATTTTTGATTTTTAATAAACTTCTAAAAGCCTTTACCTGTTTTATTTCCGTATTGTAACGCGACATCTCTTGATTATTGTAAAAATTACTTCCTACCTATACTTTCACGGTTTCTTATACTGCCATCTATTGTTGATTTAAATAAGCTTCGTAATGTGAAGTAAAAGTTATTAAAATAATTTAGTTCACTTAGTACATTGAATCAATTTCAATCGTCATTACAGATTAATATTCAATTACAGATTTTTTATCTGCTATTGTAGTAAATTCAAACAACAGCCCAACAGTCTATCTTAGTTTTGGCATCATGAAAGATACCCCTGGAGCAAACCAAGTCTTCAACGATATAGTTGAGAGAGAATGGCATGACTGGACTACTGTTTTTACCGACGCTTCAAAATTACACGAACATGGCGACTTGGGAGCCGCGGTTTGGTTCCCCAAGTTCAATGTCGTACTCAGTTTTAAATCCCCCTATCTGAATTCGGTCTTTTCGGGAGAGGCAATTGCAATACTCGAAGCCATTTTATATATTGAGTCCCATAAAATTAATAAATGTTTGGTTTTCTCAGACTCACTAAGTTGCCTCCAAGACATTATTAAGCTACCGTTTCATTCCAAAGACAATTTCTCCATCACCCTCCAAATTAAGGAAGCTCTGTACCGATGTCATTGTGCGGGAATTGAGGTAACTCTGGCCTGGATTCCCGGTCACACTGGGATCAGTGGCAACGAAGCAGTAGACGCCTTTGCAAAGGATGCGACAAGAATTGGCGTGTGCAAATACTGTAAGTGCTTTCCCAGAGATCTGCTCGCCATGACTAAACCCCAAATGCTAGCCTCCTGGTCGGCCCTTTGGCAGGAATCACGACAAACTGTTGGTAGACACTATGGTAATCTCCAACCAAATCTACCCACTAAACCCTGGTTTTTTAAACGTCGCGATTTGCCTAAAAACATCACTTCCACTATTATTCGTTTGCGCTTAGGCCATGTTTGCACACCTGTATTTTTGCGTAAAATCAGAGTTCGAGATCACTCTCTGTGCGAGTGCGGCCTAGAAGACGGTACCTTGGAACACATTTTTTTCAATTGTCCTAATATTGCTGTTCCACTTTATAACTTACTTTCTCCAAAATTCCCCCGCCCCGTTAACATAAACAACCTCTTAACTTTAGTGTTCTCCCCCCATATTGTTACTCTATGTAAATTTATCCACTTAAATAACATATATTTATAAATATTGTTTTGCTGTTTTGTTTTACATTCTCAACTGAGTACTCCCGTAGTCCAACTTACCAACACCGGTTAATGTCCTATTAGAGCTTAGCGAAAATTTTTTTTTTTTTGTTTCGTTTTTTTTTCTTTCAACTGTGACATTGGCAAAATCATCAGTTCTCATATTGATGGAGCCATAAAAATAAAAAGTGAAGTGAAGTGAAACGCAAAAACTTTTCGCAATTATTTTTTGTCTCTAATTGAATCAAAAGACGGTAACTATAACTAATTCACAGTCCTGTAATCGACATTTTAATTACGAAGGTATTCTTTTGCATAAATCACAAGACTGGCAAGCACGTGTCAACACTTAATATACATGTTTAAGATTTTATTTTGATTTAATCATGGCTGACAATTACGAATATAGTGAAGAAAGCCTGAATAAATTTTCGTATAGATTTCTACAGCAGCTGGCGAAGTCTCTGGGTCTTCCATCTAATGTAAAAGTGAGTATCTATTAATTCACACGAACTTTGTTAACTTCACTTTCCAATCGATTCTTTGTCACTTCGACCTCTAGGGGGTGGTAGTATTCGTAACCAGGACCTACACAGCAAATCAAGAACATAGTACATAGTTTTTCATAATCTTTCCGCAATATGATTATTGAACCTATCTAGGCCTGTTCCTAAATAAAGATTGTTAGCGCTTTTTGATACCTTTGAAGCTCAGTATTACCAGTGGTCCATAATTATTGGTGTATAGTTAACGTAACTAAAATTTAAAACCAAGTCAAACAGTATATGGATTTACCATAAAAAAAATTCAGGAACTGCTTTGTACCTGTTGCCATCATTTCTGTCTAGATACTCAGAATTTTGCAATAACTTATTTTTTCTCTTATCCATGCAGTTAAATACCATTAAGCCCTCAGAAAAAAAAACTGAAAGGTCGTGGGATACTATTAAAGTCCTAATTGGTAGTGATAACCAACTATCGCTACCAATTAGGACAACTTTGGACAAAGAATTATGACACTATTGGAGTTGTAACATTGTGATAATAATTTATTATTTATTTATTTATTTTATCTTTAATTCAGACAAAGGGGTCCATAAATTGGTTAGTAACAGTTTTCTTAGTGACTATGTTAGTAAAAAGAAATAATAATAATAATAAAATTTTGGACATACATACATTAGAACAGTACAGGTCACAATGTATGGATACAACACCTCCCTACCCCTTAGTTTCAAATACAATTCACATTACTGCCACAGTAAATTACATCAAATGTGAAGATCAAAACAAGGGTTCAGAAAATATTATAAAATTAATTATATTGATGTGGCCTAATGTTTGCACTGCGGGCAATTGATTCCCTTTAGAACCAATTTGGGAAATGGATGTTTCTAAATTGGTTCTGGTCTGGACGTTCTCGGTAGTGCCCCAGAGTGAATTCTGTTGCTTGTGGAATTGAATTCTCCAGTTTGTAACCACATTTACATACACATAATTATTCTTTTATAATAATAAATATTGTATTCTTTTCTCAGCCTTTTGAATGGTTTTAGTCGCATTTACAGACTAAAATCAACTTGAAACAGTACATGTATCGAAGTTGAGGGTGTGTGTATGTGTGTAATAAGAACCTAGTTTTTCTACTTGTATTATTATTCTCAGGCACATTATTATTATTATTCAGATACGCACATCGTCCCCCAATCTCTTAGTGGTGTAGGCAAAGACCACTCTTCCACTTGCTATATGGCATACATCCTTGCCTTCTGTCGTCAGTCCTTAGCACCTGGCATTGTTAAGGACATTTATTATAATAATAATAATAACGCACACACTCAACATAGCCCCGCACTAGGGAAACCCTGTGTCGCGGGCACACACATAGACAACCACAAATTACACCCAAACTCACGAGAGAAATAAATGTAGGTCATACAAATATTTCGCCCGGCCCGGGAATCGAACCTGGGACCTCTGCGTGGCAGTCCGGCATGGTAACCATTCAGCCACGGAGGCAGTTAATATTTGATCCATTAAGCTGTACTCAAACCTTTCTTCTCATTTGGTCATCAATCATCCGCTCTCTTCACATGACAAATAAATGTATACAGACCTAGCTGTCTATCTAGAGTTGTGGCTGTGAACAGGAAGTTAATGTTTTTACAGCACTTAACGGCTCACTGTTTGCAAACTCCATCCTGCAATGCGGTGACATAGGAGGATCCTTGAACCCCTCTTAATTTGGCAAAATGGGAACCTTTCACACTTTTTATATTTTACAATATTGCAGAAGATGTATTTAGTTCAAATGATCTTTGCCAAGAAAAACTGCTGTGAAGCCGATGTCCAGGATATAGTACAACGAGTCAAATTAGAGAGACAGCAGCTGTCGCAGAGCAAGAAAAAAAGAAACCAAAAGAAAGTAAAGTTGCAGGTACAGTATGCCTTAGCTATAACTTTGCAAAGTATTGAAATTGTCTTATGACAAACAAACGTTACGTTATTCGCACACTGACACTACCAAAATATATATTAAAGACTGACAGTGTTTATATTTTAGTGTTTGTACATTAATGTACATATGTATATTTAGTGTGTTCTTTATTTTATTATTTGAGCTTTTTTGTATTTTGATCTTTACTAATTAACCTCTGTGGTCGAGCGAGTGGTTTACACACGGGTTTTCATGGTCTCGCCATCTCTGAGGTCCCGAGGTGAGATTCGATCCATGACCAGGTCAATGTAGAAAAATTATTTTTATATACATATATTATTGTCTCGGGTCTGGATGTTTGTAGTACCATTGTTTTTTCCAATCTCCATAACACAAGTACTTTAGTTACTTACTTTGGGATCAGAGCAATATGTACAGTCAACAGCACATCAAGCTACACATTGACATATCTTGTTTGCACTATTATATTGCACTATTATATATTGCACTGGAGGCGATTTTCGAACAAAAATGTGTAGTCTGATGTGCTGTTGTCCGTACATTGTGTTTTTTGTTTAAAAAAACTATAACATGAGCAATAAAATTGCTTTTAAAAACTGTATTTAACGTTTGTGTAATCCGTTCGTCATGGTGGTGTATAATGTTTTATCTCTGACCCTCTATTTTATCATCTAAGTTTTCAGAGTTAAAAGTTACATACCTAGTTACTCCAAATTGTGTATAGACACAAATAATTGTAACCAAAGAACTAGAAACTCCAAATGGGGGTCTATGTTTATGTGGGCACGGAATCAAGAACTGTTTATCAATCACTTGCTATTCTTAACAATAATTTAATTCATTCTCATTTTGTACAATTTGTTTAGAATTGAATTTATATTAATACTTTGTGGACTAAAATTTATTTTATGATCTGAAAGTTCACAGATTATCAAAATAGGAAAGGCGTGCTCTACCTTTATCTCAGTATTAATTAAATAATGATAAAATCCATTCATATTTCAGGCAACAGAAATATCATCCACCAATACGAGTCAATCTCCACCAATAAGCAATACTCCAAAACGCCAAAGCTTTAGTGAATCCAACCCTCAGTTATGTCAAACGCTTGTCCGATGCCAAGCTAATCAACCCTTACTCAGCTCCCAAAACTGTAGTGACCGAGTACTACGCAGCTTCAACTTGAAGTCCTATAAAAAACCAAATTACTCCGTTATGAATAATTCTATAATTGGAGTTATAAAAACTCAAAGTCCGAAAGCACATATAAGTATAATACGGTGTGAAAATGGATTCCCCAAGTTGAATGTGACAACATCTTGTATTGTGAAGAAATGCAGGCCAAGTATATTGAACAGTGTGTCTTGTTTGAGGAATGACGGTCAATTTTTGTCTAGTTCGGTAAGTTCAACATTCTCTATTAAATAGTCACTGGTTTGAATAAGTACATTCTACGCCTTAGAGACCCCCCCACACTAGCGACTTTCGAGCGTCAGCGTCTTGTCGACGTACGCACAACGTTCGCGCGGCGGTGGCGTATACCCGACGTACGGCACTATTCAGGGGGTCTATTCCTGTTCTCCGGTGGTCGAGTATTACTTACGTATTTCATAATAATTGTCTCTGACGAGTGTTGTACGGGGAACGGGAGTAGACAACCAACAGTCGCTTACTGACGCCGCGCTGGCGTTGTGTCGCCGCGACGCGGACGACGCGTCGTGTCGATGCTATGCATACGTTGGCAAGACACTGACTGGGGGGGTCTCCTAAGGTATTTGATCCCCTGACCGACCACTTGAATCTGAATAGATAAATAAATTTAATATTTAACCTGTGAAATGTAAATAGTATGACTTCTTCATTGCATCATTACTGAATGACGTTTTAAGTAACATTTTAAGCCAATTTCATCTTTAACATTCGCACCTCTCATGGAAGAATGGAATAAGTGGAGTTACGTCAAACATGTTTATTGCACAATTAATACAGAAAAATATAACCCACATCCTCTCCAATTCTTGTAACTAAATTGTTTTGTCAAAGTTACGGAACAACAGTTGTTGTTTATGATGTTACTAATCTAGTATAAAAATAACCCTGTATAAGATAATAAATTTAATCAAAACACATTTCGATACCTTACTTTCACAAACTCGTTTCTTATAAAGAGTGATTAGTCAGGAGAGGGCAAAATTTTCTGTTTATTTTAAATTTATTATCAAGGGTGTTAATTTGGAGGCATTACTTTAATAATAGGTAAAAGCCAGCGTGTGAATGTGACGGAATAGTGATGTGAAATCAGCCTGCACAGTTTCTATATACAATCCATTTATTGCATTTCAGTAACTTTGTGCTTTAAGATACGATTTTGAAAAAGTAAGGCAACGATTTCTTATTTTACTTTTGATGTAGCAAGCATTTAAAGTTAAATTTATAAATTTTTCCAGAACACTATTCCACAAACAAAGAAACGCCACCGCCGCATCACCTCATTGCTCCCAATCGAAGCACCAGAAACTAACACAATGAATTACCCGAGCCTACAACGAATAGGATTTCGGCATACAGATGGAAAAATATCAAAAATAAACGCCATAGTTCACAAACCACCAAAAACTTATGAACGATTGAATTCAAGCAGCACTATAAGTCAAAATAGTTATCGGAACGTCGAAGTTACAATTCAGGTACGGACAACGGCACATCAGACTACACATTTTTGTTCGAAAATCGCCTCCAGTTTAATGGAACAAGATACGTCTATGTGTAGCTTGAGACGCTGGCGTGTGTACAACAATTTTTCTACAGGTTTTTTATTTATTTATTATTTAGACATATAGATAGATAAAGGGTTTATTGCTTCCCACTAGCAGACACAAGCTTATTAAATTCTCAAAAAAAGATATATACACAAAACACGGTTTTAAAGTGTGTAGCGGACTATGTCAATGAGTTAAAAGGTGAGCAAGGCCAAGCAAATGCACTTAGCGCCCAGTTACACGCCTTCATGTACATTAATGGCAAATCTGAATTCTATTTATTATGCAACAACATTTAAATTCCTCTCAACAAAATTACCTCGCGGCCGCCGCATAGACCAAATTCAAGCCAGGCTAGCCCGCGTGCCCGGAACGCTCATTTCAATTAAAACGTAAAAGCTAAACAAATAGAGCTTATTTTGCCATGACAATTAGACGCACGCGGTCGCTGCGCGGCGACAGCGCGGACTCCGCTCTGCCGCCGTTGAAATTCGTGTCGAATTCTCACAATTTATTAATTTTTATTACAAAACACCACGTAGCTATCAAAGCAAAACAGCAAACCCTAGATAAAGTCAACAAAAAGGTGCCAAAAACAAACACATTTAAAGTTAGAATTTAAATATAAAACTAAGCTTAAAAAAGACATATTATAAAATATATACAAAGAGATTTGCAGCGATTCGCTACAAAGTGTAAGGGTTCTGGTGAAATTACAGGCACTTGGGACTTGTCAACTTATGTCTCTGGGTGACGGGCGCAGTGGCAGCGCCCCTCAGATCTTTACGATTTAAAGCTCTCAGTGGCACTGCAACTGTTATGGACAGGCGTATAGCTTACCATCAGGCACATGACTTGTCCGTCATGTGATATATAAAATAATAATTCATTGACAGTGTAAACAAACAAACAAAAAAACAAGTACGTTAAATAAATATATGAACATAACAAATAGCTTATATAGGTATATGCTGGGACTAATGAGGTAACAATAACTTGTGTGTTCATTATATTTTTAATGGTGATATTTCACTAATAATATAATGAAAGTAAAATATGAATACAATGAGTTACGTAACTCATTTCACGAGTATTCACATACTTATTAGATTTTGCCTCGATATGTTGGAATAAGCTAGTCTGTCTTTTTTGAAGATAGAGTAAAATGACATTAGCAGGGTTGTCAGTTTTCGTAAAATATAGTATATTGTCGACAGTTTTATCGATAATTTGTGAAAGAAGGTAAAATTTTGCCAAAAAAGTCTAAATTGTGAATTTGCTGTAATGTACCAGACAACCTTATTATATATAAAATTAGAAGACGCTAACATAGTATAATAAGACAAGTAGGGTAACTCATATAAGAGGGCGTGCACAGATACACGCACGCCGCGCGCCGTGTATGGCCGCACACATTGGTATACTCGCGATGCACTCGCGTTGCATAGCGCGTGTCATTGCACGCGCCATTCCTTATAAAATCGAAGCGAAAAAATTACATCAAATAGTACATGTGTTTATTATTGTGTTCATGGAGATTTAAACAAGAGTGACTCAAAGTCGAGATAACGATCTGCGAAGTTGGTATGAAAATATCAACACGTAAGTACGACGTTTAATAAAGGTTATTTTAAATATAGCACGAGAATACTGTGATGAATCCATTATTTTTTTATATTTACAATCTGTAGGGTGAGCGCGACTTGCGCGATATACTGCTATTCTCGCATAGAGATCTTGCGTTTTATGTCGCTTTCGTGTAAGTCGGGCCTTTCGTGCTAGCCCTGCTGTAGATATAAATGAAACAATAATGTGACAACCCTACGCCTTCGGAGCGATGTGTAGGCGTTGATGTGTCAAACTGGCGTTATTTGCCCTACTTGTCTTATTTATTGTACTTTGACGCTAAGGAGGTTCAGCATGTTAAGGCGGATTTTCACGGTTTTATGTAATCTAATAGCCAGTAGATGGCGTTCGTAAGGCGAAATAATAGTTTTCTACGATTTTTACAAAGTTGGCAGCCAAAAGTTATACTTTTATTTTTGAAGCGACTGTATGAATTCATGATACATTTAAACTTTGTCTTTGATTTCAGGATATTATAAATAGCAACATAGACGCACAAACATTCACAAATCCAAATGTCTCGGAGTATATTATGTCTGGAACGAACATTGCCAATATGTCGTATGCAACACAAAACGATGCTTTAAACACTGTGGAGTTTGGGCAAAATAATGAAGTTAGGGAAGACGGTGATTTCTCTGTTTATTATCATAAGAAGATAAGGGCTGAACAGGTCAGTGAAAAAAGTTACGATATAAATAAATAAATAAAATATTATACAACATCACTCTGTTCCCAAAGTAAGCTAAAGCACTTGTGTTATGAAATCGGAAACAACGACGGTACCATAAACTCCCAGACCTGGAGACAATAAGTTAGTTTTTCTACATTGACCCAGTCGGGGATCGAATCCGGGACCTAAAAGGTGGCAACACCATGAAAACCGGTGTGCAAGCGACTTGAAAACGCGGAGGTCGTCAAAATATGAAAACATAATTTTAAAAAAATCTGAGGGGCGCTGCCACTGCGCCCGTTACCCAGAGACATAAGTTGACAAGTCCCATGTGCCTGTAATTTCGCCAGCACCCTTAACCTTCAAAAGTAGAACACAGTAATGCTGCTGAATACATTACTGCTTGGCGGCAGAAATAGGTAAGGTGGCAGTACTTCCTTGGACGAGCTTTTTGAAAAAGAGCTTTTTGAAAAAGAGCTTTACTGTTACTAAATTGTGATATAAATTGGAAAAATAGTTTTTTTTGGGAAACTGATATAATTATTAGAAATGAACTTTTTTTTTCGGATCGAAATCGCGTATATTTGTTTTTAAATGATAACGTCATCAACCAGTTATGCCTAATATAATACTGCCTCCGTGGCCGAACGGTTACCATACCGGACTGCCACGCAAAGGTCCTCGGGTTCGATTCCCGGGCCGGGAGAAATATTTGTATGGCCTACATTTATTTCTCTCGTGAGTTTGGGTGTAATTTGTGGTTGTCTATGTGTGTGTCCATGGCACCCGCGACACAGGGTTTCCCTAGAGCGGGGCTGTGTTGAGTGTGTGCGTTATTATTATTAATAGGGTGTTTTTAATTAATATAACTGTTTGATGGCTTTTCCATCTCAATCAACTGTGATCATGGAACCTGTATAGAACCCGAAACGATTGGTTTGTTTGAAGAAACAAATATACGCGATGAAAAAATATTTTTATTACCAATGTATAACAATCGCAAAAACCTGAAAATTCTATGCGAATGAAATAAATGAACATGATATGTGGTTGGTACTAGTTATGTTATTTTTTAATTATTTTTATCAGTTTTCCAATTTTTGTTATTGCCCCTTAAAATAGATTATGATTTGAAAATAGTGCATAATAACAAAAAAATTTGCAAGTAGCGATTATTTTAAAATTAACATGACTTGTAAAAAACAAAAATATCTGAAGAGGTCACTAAAAGGAAGTACCCTATTGGCATCCACCAACCACCAAATCAGGCAACAGCACAATCAAGGTTTTATTCGAATATCGCCACCAGTGCAACATACATTTTGGAAAATAATATTTTCATATAGTAATTTAAAAAAAATAAAATATAAACAACATATTAACAATATCTTTATCACCATAGTTTTATTAAGTAAGTAAGTAAGTATAAATCTTTTAAGTAATATAAATTTCCGGTTATTTATGGAAAACCATTCTGTCATCTTTTAACCCCGTCCCAGAGCGCGCTTGCTTCTATGGCCAAGAACTTGTTGATTTCTTATTCATAGCTCAATCTTAAATACATGTTCAAAAACAAAAGTATATCACCATTATTAATTTTGCCTAAATACACACATCAAAAGTTTCTAAGAACCAATCACATATGCCTTTGATCCTTAGATATTTTTGTAATATAAACTTGTACAAAATTGTAGGTGCGAACCCAAAGACTAAGCATCGCACGCGACGTACCTCGCAACCAAGCCAACGAGCAGCGTCTGCCGAAGATCAACGACGTGTTCAGCAACTTCAATGACGTCAGTCGTGACGTCACTAGGCCGCTCTACGTGCAAGTCTCTGATGCTGACAGAGGTTAGTAAAAAATTACAAAATAAAGCAACTATAAAGGTGGTTCTCTACCGGCGAGGCCAGACGAGACATGGAGAGACAGAATTGAATTCTCGCCGGCCTATTCCCACCAAAAATCGAGTAACTCGAGGTGAAAAAAATACAACTCGTCCCTTAGCTAGGTATGTACAATGAAGCCTTATAATTAAAAGTAAAGTATTGTATACACTTAGGTTTAAGAAAATATTGAATATTAGAATGTTGGACTAGTCAGTTGGGCGCAGCGCACGTAAAATGCAGCGGGGCCTGAAGGGGCCCGCTTATAAGTGCGTTACGATGGCGTTCGCGGGAGGCAGACATTCAGCGCAGACAAACATAAAATTAATTAATAATAAATTGAACTTAATAAAAATTAATTCAATAAATTAATTTGTAAAACTTAATGTAGCGTAAATTAGAATGTTTTCTTTGTAAAATTAAACATAAGGTATGTTGGATTTCATATTTTCTTTTTTTGTATTAGACATTAATCAAAAATAGTATAGGGTAGATCTTAGCACTTGCGAGGACTTCCTTCCTTTATATCCTCCATCCTCCTCCAACATGCGCACTTTGCTGCTGTAATCTCTTTCACTGGCCAATGAGTTGGCAACAAAAATAAGACGATAGTCTAACCTATGACACTGAACTGTGTGCATCATAAAAATGGCTAATTAGCGCGATTGTGTTTTTTTAATAGTTTGTTTTGTTCGCAATACACTGTACTGTGCTCAGTAGTGAACCTGAGGATATTTCCTCCTGTAGCGGCCGCATCCAGGCGGAATTGCTGCCAGCGCAACGAAAGAAAAGGTGAGTGTGCATGTTCCAATCATTTTTCCTGTTCTTCGACCTACTACTATATACTTGTTCCGGTCCTTATAGGAAACTACTTGCAAGTGCAGTTACTCGTAGTACAAGTACCTTTTAATGTAATTTTAAAAAGTCCAAAAAATACAGTAAATTCTACTTATCGAAACGAAAACCTAAGAACTCGATAATTCAATTAAGCCAAAATTACAATTACATCCATGTAGCACCAAATGAGCGATAAATTGACATGGTCCACGTGCCTGTAGTTTCGCACGTTGGAAACAGAAATAGGTAAGGTGGCAATACTTCCCTGGGCGAACTGTTTTACAAGGAGCTTTACTGGTACTAGAGTACTTTCAAGTCGATCGGACAAGTGGAATTAAAATCCCTGTGAAATTCTTTAAAAAAAACACTTTAAGATCAGCCCAGTTGTTTGGGAGTTACAGACACACGGATATACAAACAAATGCTTCAAACTTATAACTACCCTTTTTTTTCGTCGGGTGTTTATGAAATAGGTTAACAATGCCATCGTCAATTTCCAAAGCAGCCAAACTCCGAGGCTTGGAATTTGAAAAATAGTACTCTAGTGATTCGCAGCAGTCTCTACAAGACATATATTTTTATGCATATCTAAAGAACGACAATAACAAAGAAAAAGGCGCCAAAAACATGTACATTTAAATTTGGAATTTAAATCTAAAAAAAGACAATATAAATATATATAGTCTATTTTATAGATTACTTTTAGAATTAAATTCCAAATTTAAATGTACATGTTTTTAGCGCCATTTTCTTTGCCGTTGTTGATTATGTTTCGTTCATAGCCATTGACCTACCAATAAATGGACATCGGGTTCGCATTAAAAAGTGTCCGCACCTATAAGGCGTTAAAATTACATACAGAGCGTCAATCGCGCAACAGTCTTCATTTGTTCGACTGAGAGCGCGGTTGTCAATCATGCAGTGCCATACAATAATAAAAAAGTGTCCGCACCTATAAGGCGTTAAATCACATACAGAGCGTCAATCGCGCAACAGTCTTCGTTTGTTCGACTGAGAGCGCGGTTGTCAATCATGCAGTGCCATACAATAATAACTTGTAAAAATTACTGCAATAAAGTGTAAAAACAGGAATTTGTATTATATTTTCACTAAACAAATATATTGGTGTTATCATAGTTCTCATTTAAAAATGTTATTTTGTACAGTTTTATCGTATTTAATTTTTATATAAATGAATCGTAAATATAAATTACAAAAGCACACAAAATAATCAAATAGCTAACTGCCCTTTTTCTACACATTGCATGCGCAAAAGATGGAAAGAGACCCCTTACGTCAATTTCAAGAAGCTTATATAAACTTCTTGGTCATTTTCAATTGTTCAAACCACAAGCGATTGAAATATTTAGAACAAAGAAACTACAGAGTCACTTTGATTTTATTATTTTTAAAATTATTTTTTATTAAACGTTAGCAATAGCTAACAAAATATTCTTGTACTTATTAAAACGCGTACAAGAATATTTTAAGGTTTGGGATTACCTATCAGAAGTCAGAAAATACATTTACCCGAAATAACGTTAGCTCGAATTTTCATAATGTGAAATGTATGTTTTTAGGAAGATTACAAAACAAAAGCTAATTTTGTCTTTGTGAAAAGCATCAAAATTACTCGAAAGCGTAACGGTTTTATTATAAATCGGTTTTCGAAATTACGGATATTTGAGTTTACGTTTAGTTGGAATATCGGTACATTTCTTATAGTACACACTTATTTTCACATTTGTAGTAATATTTGTATATATGTATCTACCCAACTCTTTATTATTTCTTTAAGTGAATTTGTACAAAATTCGACATAATCATATATATAAAAATTAGTTAATATGTACGATAAAGGCTACTCCATTACTCTTGTGTTCAAGTAATTTTCAGCCTGCTACAAGTACTTTTAAAAGGCTACTCCATTACTCTTGTGTTCAAGTAATTTTCAGCCTGCTACAAGTACTTTTATTTGAACATTTCAGTCAGTATCCCACTGCAGTCCCAAAACCCACCAGCATTGGAAAGACTTTACAACATACGGACGTTACCTCATCAGGAGAAACCGCTGCTGCAAGTAGCTACTTCTGACAACACAACGTGCGTCTTCAGCACGATGTTAATATCCTCTGTGTAAGTACTAATTTGTGTAGCTATATTCATGGCTGACTGTACTTTCTTGTATACCCTGTGGCACTAAACTATTCCAACTAATTCAGTGCACAAAACCTTTGGATGTTTTAATAATTTCTATAACAATGCTTTGGAATCTTTTTGCAAATAATTTTCCATTGTTAACGCTGTAGACCACGAGCTGCATCGCGATTCCAAATTGCAGCCGTTTATGGCGGCATTCCCACTGCAATGCGGCTCGTGTGTCTACGCACTAATGGCCACTGGCACTAAACTTAAGTATGTCTTAAACCAATCGTAAATTGATAAGACAATCTTAACACAATGTATTAAGAGTGTTTTGCATTACAAGCATTGGTTTCAGACGTGCTTGAATTTAGTGCAAGTGGACATTACTTACAAAATGTCACAACTAACGCTGGCTGTATGTGAGTCGCTTTAACACTGGAGCATTCGCTTATACAGTGTTTTTTTTAATGGAACACTATTGGGAAATCTACTTTGGGTTGATTGCGGGTTGATTGGCTTCGGATTGCCCCATTTGTCCCAGTTAAAAAAAAAACACTGTAATAGGATAATTCCTCCACACATTCATCAAAAGTGCTTGCGACTAATTTGATGATAGTATAATAAAAAAAGTACATCACAGTCACACAATGGATACGGTGCACAATCTGCTATTCCACACAATCATTGTAACAGCGTATTGTCGATATTCCAATGCATTTACGTTTACGGGAATGGAAAGAGCCTTAAAAGTACCTATCCACTCATTGAAGGTCGAGGTGAGAGTGAATAGGCCTCTGCCCATATTGTATTTGTTGGGAAACAGATTCCTGATATTTCTCTTACTACTATGACGCGTGCCTTATACTTCATAAGCTTTAGGCTAAAGTAGTAATATTATAATTATTAGTAAGTATTTAACCACAATATCACTTGATGGTAACTGAAATGCAAACAGGAATGGAAAGAGCTTTAAAAGTGCCTATTCTCTGTTGAGAGTGAATAGGTCACTGCCCGTTTTGTATTTATCGGGGAGCAGGTCTCACATTTTCACCTCCATCTATAACGAAATGTTCTACACTTACTTACTTATGATAATATTGATTGTATCGAGTAAATTGTATTAAACTTTTTTAAAGCATAAAATATTATATCCGAGCAAATTAGATTTACTTTGATACTGTAACATGATGTTGAAAATGCAACTATTTTAATTTTCTGTAGAGACTGTGTACAACACCCGTATTTTTTTTGGTCAAAAATACAAAGCTGTTTTGAACTCAAGTGGACGGCATGACTGTTTAGATGAATTTAAAGTATGGGCGCGTTCCCATTATGTCGTGACGACAGATAGTAGTCTAAATTGTCATGGCTTGTATATTTATATTAAGTTGTTCACATATAGTACAACACGATTAACTGTCGTTCACGATTTTTTTGACGTTACGACAAGAGACTGTCGTGACAATGGGAAAAGCTAAATGGACAGTCGTCAGACGATAAATAAAACGTTACGATAAAAATGGGACGACATTCTGTCGTGCAAACGACAAGGCGGCTGCCGTGAACCGTTAAATTGTTGTCACGATCTAGTAGAACAGCTAAACGTGACAATCGTTCAACGATAAAATAAACGTCCACAACATTGTTACGACAGATAGTCGTAATATGGGAACAGGCTAGACGCGACAGTCATCCAACGACAAATAAAACGTGACGACATCATGGTATCGCGCCCTAAAGAATCTGTAGCATAGTGTGACTTTGATTGCATGTGTGGCGCATTTAGAATGGCTCCGTCGACCAGCTCACCGCCTGCCGAGTTTCAACCTGCTTGTAAGTCACCGCTTTATTTCCTTGCACTTCCACTATGCACCGTTTTACACTGAACAGTTCTAAACCTTTAACATCTATCACTTAATAGTAAATAAATAGTCTTATTATTATTGATCATAAAGATCGAACCAGCACAGAGAAAAAAACCTTCGATCCGACTGTACTTTTTTTTTTTTGATTTTTTTTTTTTATTGTGACTCGGCAAAATGACTGCACCGCACCTGATGGAAAGTGCGAATACAGTCCAGAGATGAGAGTAACGGATGGAAAACACAAATATCTTCACTCCGTCACTATCATTTTGCCGGTCTGGCCAAATGCTTCTTCACACTACGTTTGAAGGACCCGATGTTATAGAGGGGAGGGAATACATGCGCCGGGAGTTGGTTCCACAATTTGATGGTTTGGCATAAGAACGAATTGCCAAACTTTTTAGTGCGGGACGGTATTGAACTGACCGTCCAACTGTGGCAACGCAGTCCGGCACGGGTGGTCCGCTGATGGAAAGGAGAGGAAGGGATAAGGTTGAATAACTCTTCAGAACACTCACTTGAACCACCGGGCTGTTGTCTTAACGTTGCTACCGCTCTACCGACTGAGCGTTGGCTCGAAGCAGCAGAACTTACTGATTTCTCTATGTGCCTGTTGCAGATCTTTGTTTTTTGAAAATAAATTAATATCATGATAGTAAAAATAAATATTTCTTATGATTATAACACATTCACAGCGCATGAGCCCGAACAATACGAATATTTGAATACAACCGACGACGTTTCGCGCATGAGCGACTTCTTCAACCTAGCCGAGCAGGATATCACGCTACGAAAATATCATAAAGGTAAGAAAGCATTTTACTATAGTCTAAACTGGTCTAAACTGGTCTACTTAATGCTTTACTTCATTCGTATTTATGAGCTAGGCTTTTTGTCTTTTATATCATATAAGATATCAATTATGGGACGAATAAGTTGTACGCCTGGTGGTAAGCATCACCACGCCTTTACTTTTCAGCCCTCCCATCCATTTGCATTTCGAGATATTGGCACCTAAACTTTTATTGTCAGCCATTTCGAAAAGGGTCCACTGAAAACTAGCGCTGTTGTTCCGCCGCAGTATTTGCTGAGTTGGGCCCTTTTCAGTGCAATATCGACTATGAACTGGCAACCGGTACCATCTCAATTTTGACAACTTTACAGGTGAAGACAAAAATTGTTTGCGACATTTATATAGGCACCTGTAGGGCTAGCACGATAGGGTGCGACTAGCGCGAGAGCGACATAAAGCGCGACATCTCTATGTGAGAATAGCAGTATCTCGCACTTTATGTCGCTCTCTCGCTAGTCGCGCCTTATCGTGCTAGCCCTACTGGTTTATTAAATAAAAATTCGTAGTATACATATATGTGTAATAAAAATATTTAAAAACTAGGTATTTTTATTTAATAAACCATATGCTATATAAATGACGCAAACAATTTTTTTCTTCACCTGTAAAGTTGTCAAATTGAGATAGTACCGATTGCCAGTTCACAGTCGATATACTTTAAGGGCGCATTCCCATTATGTCGTAACGACAGGTAGTCGTGCAAATTAAAATGTCATGGCTTATACATATATTTAAATGAACTTGTTCATTCATAGAACAACACTATTAACTGTTGACTTTTTAGACGTTACGTCAACAGACTGTCGTGTCAATGGGAAGAGCTAGATCGACAGTCGTCTGACGATAAATAAAACGTAACGATAAAGCGGTGACGACAGGTAATCGCAGGTTCAAACGATTCTGTCGTGCAAACGATAAGGCAGCTGCTGTGAATCGATAAATTGTCGTCACGGTCTAGTGGAACCAGCTAGACGACAGTCGTTCAACGATAAACTAAACGACACAGTCACGACAGATAGTCGTGATGTGGGAACAGGCTAGACGCTACAGTCGTCCAACGATATATAAAACATTACAACATAATTGGAACGAGCCCTGAGCCATAAAATTGACGGTCCCGTATGTTTGTATTTAACCAGCACCCAGGAAGCAGAAATGAGTAAGGTGACACTTTCCTAGATGAATCTTTCACAAGGAGTTCTATTGCTTTTAATCTGCTGCACACAGAACTGCATTAAGGTTCTTTAGAACTGGTTTGGAACTTGTAGAAATATACTGTCTGAGAACCCGCTCCGGATTCTAGTCGTAAATGACGCGATAGGAACCAGTTGTCATAATAAATTTTAAATTTAATATCTGGCAAAACCACCAATTTAAAACTTTATTATTATATTGTCCTGGCGGCAGAATGTGAACATTATTTGCGTTCTGATTTTGAAGGGTAAGGATGCTGGTAAAATTACAGGCACACGGGACTTGTCAACCTATGTTATGGAAGACGGGCGCAGTGGCAGAACTCCTCAGATCTTTGCAACTTAAAGCTCTGAGTGGCACTGCAGCTACTATGGACAAGCGTATCGCTTACCACCAGGCGAGCTATTTGATCGTCCCGTCATTTGGTATCATAAAAAAAAACAGTAGCAACATATGATGTGTTTCCAGCGTTTAGCACGTCGTTGTCATCGGAAGAGACGCAGAGCCATGTAATGGATACGACAGCTAGCATTCCGGAAATGGTAGAAGACGCCCTTGAGATCATCAGTCAAGATGGGGTATTTATATGTTATTGTACTGCATCGACCTCTTATAGTGGGCTCGATTTTCCTCTAAGAAAAAAGTTTTAGCATATATCAGCGCGGCTTGTATGTGTGCGCGCCGTGTACGGGAACGTACATCTTCGCAAAAATCTCATGGTGCACTCGAGTTGCATAGCTCGGGCTGTCGCATGCGCCTTTCATTATAGAGTTCATGCGTTCGCTCGGTATTGAAAAAGTTAAGCCAAATTAGTAGACGTGTTAATGGTTGTTTGAACAAGAGTGTCTCAAAATCAGAATTATTTAACATTTCATTTTTATTTCATAACCATACTCCCATAATCGAGATACCAATACGCGTTACTGATGTACAAATATCAATATGTAAATACTGCATATGACAAAGGTTGTTTTCAATATAGCACGAGAATATTGTGATGTATAGGTACTTTTAAAAAAAATCATGTATTGCAACCTGTAGGTACAACTAAAATAATGTGACAACCCTACGCTCCTAGAGACGTGTAGGCCTTGGCTTTGACGCGTCGAACAGGCGGGAGTTGGTCTACTTATCTTTACACTTAGTAATATGATTTTAGTTGTTAATACAAAGATCGAACCACCCTATGGCACAGCGTCTGGAACGGTTTACTAGGAGACGTCGGTTCTGCCGGATCGAAGGAATTTTTTGTAAGTCTTCGATCTTTGTATTAATAATTATAACAAATAATAATAAAATATATACGTATACTTACTTATATTTTACCAGGGACTTTATATTATTTATTAAGTGCCTCGTAATTGGGCACTCATTCCTGTCAGCAACTGTCTTCAGGAGGCTATTGGGGCTGTCACTTATTCTCTTCAGTAGCGACGCCGACTTTTTACGTACAACATCCGTTTAAACTATGTACGCGCGCGTCAGTGAACATGGCTGAGACACTGCAGAAACGTGACAGCCCCAACGGCGTCCTGGGGGCCTACTATGAGCTTATAACCAGCCAGCCAAGTTCCATGCAATTCACTTGACGTGGTAAAACTGAATTGCTTAAATTCGTATCATGACCTACACAAAGTTGAACGGGAATAGCATGCCAGGTTGATGAATTTGACTTTTTAAACGTTAATTATTGTCTCTGGCTGGCTAGCTGACATCTAACAAGAGCGTTCCATCTCGCTCTTGTTAGATGTCAGCTAGCCAGCCAGAGACTGTCTGACTACATACTAAATCATATGAAAGAAATAGATGTACTATCCTCGGAGCATTCAAGCACTATTAACCGATTGTGTTCAAAATGAGAATTTGTTTTCAAAAGAAAAGTTTTAGAAAGTAAAAGAAAGTTAATTAATTTTTTATTGAATTGATATTCAATTATTTTTTGTGAAATGACTCCAAATTATTAATACAAAGATCGAACACTCAGAAAAAATTCCTTCGATCCGGTCGGATTCGAACCGACGTCTTCTTGCATACCGTTGCAGACGCTATACCAACTAAGCCACGGAACGAACCAACGGACCTCACGAATTTTTCAATGTGCTTGCATCTTGTCCTTTGTATTTGGCTTTTCAACGACTTTTTAGTCGTTGCGCCATCTATGAGAAATCTATGAAAGATTTATCACCCAGTTAGTACCTTTACAGCTACCAGTCCTGGCGAGAGATGTCGCTATTCACTTATTAATTAAATTTTTATTGAATTGATATTCAATTATTTTTTGTGAAATTACTCCACTAGTTTGTTATAATTATTAATCTGTGCCAGACGCTATACCAACTAAGCCACGGAACGAACCAACGGACCTCACGAATTTTCATTTTAAGTCTAATTAACCAATAGTTAGGGAGAAATTACTTAACTTATTTACTTACCCGTCACTTTGGAATGGCCCTACAGGCATTATTACTGATTTATGTAAATTGTGCCATATCTATATGCATTTTGTGTACAATTCCGTAACGCGCTGAAACGGCTATAAAGCACTTAAGTTATTTTCATAAAACACCTGTGCGTGCGCCACCCAAACCTTTTCACATTTTCTGTGTGATCTTATCTTTAACACGTATAGAAAAACTAAATTCCACGTGTAATCTACTTTGTACACCTAACAGCAAACATAGACCACGACGAATTTTTACGCTCCATGTCGTTTTCTGGTGTTATGGTGGAAATAAACGACATGCAACATAAAATCTAGGTCACGGTGTATCAGTTTATTTGCCCCCGAGGGTAGTTCTACAATTGTATTGTTCTGACTTCCAGGACTACATGGAGCGAATTGGCATGGATATAAGAATGCAGTGTATCCTGTGCGATTGGGCTGGACCCAAGATCATCCTCGAGTACCACATTAGGAAGGTAAATATATATAAAATATCTATAATAAATTAATTTTAATATAATTTATTTATTTAAATTAATAAATTAAATTATTTGGAATTAGTAGAGGCGAAGCAGATCCTTGAACACCGCCTGCTTATCGGGCTTCTGCAGGATATATCACGGAGAGTGTGCGATGAAATTGCATAATTTGATTCCGCCTTCCTCTTTTCATCATCGGGGGACTAGACGTGTGTTGAGATTCCACCCCTTTATTGTGGATATTCCCAGGATTCGCACTAAGCGTTTCGCTTCCACATTTATATGGCGAGCGGCTAGAGAATGGAACTCCCTACCTGCGGACTTATTCCCCGAACACTATAATTTGGACCTTTTCAAGGCGAGAGTGAAAAGGCATTATTTAAGTATGCTTGTTACATCGTCGACCTCAGCATCACTTTACATCAGGCGAAATGGAGTTCAAATGCACGTACTTACTTATAATTAAAAAAAATAAAAAATCTATATGAAACGTATTCTACTACTGGGTACGTTAAGAACACACAATTATAGCTCGAGAAGCCCTATATCGCGGGTGCCATGGACACGCATAGACAACCACAAATTACACCCAACTCACGAGAGAAATAAAGGTAGGCCATACAAGTCCTTCTGGCAGCCCTGGCATCGAACCCTCCCGGATTGTCGTGTCTATTAAAAATACAAAGAGGAGACACGTTTTAAAGTGTTCCATTTTAAGTCAATAACAATCTCAGTACAGAGTACTAAAAAACCGACCTCAAAAGTACGTGGAATTACGTCTATTTGGCAAGTTTTAATGAAATGTCCCCTTGTTCTCCACTATACGACACTTAACACAGGAGATAATAAAAATCGGTTCACACTACTCAAAGTATATTGAGAGAGAAAAACGCCTTGAATTGGAGAATAGCAAAATCAACCATTAAAATAATTGCTCCTTATAATAAAATTTAGGCGCAATTTATAAAAATGAATCTTCATGCGTGAACAGCCACTATTAGAGGCGGATGATTTTCTTCAAAATTAAATGGGACCCTCTTTCCAACAAAAAAAGAATCATGAAAATCGGTTCACAAATACCGGAGTTATCGCGTAACATACATACAAAAAAAAAACAGTCGAATTGAGAACCTCCTCCTTTTTTGAAGTCGGTTAAAAATAAACAAATTACTTCTTATGATGTGTACGAATAAAAATTGATTTTGATACTTGTAGGCCAACTGTCAAATAAGAATGAAGAAAGCAATAACGCAATTATAAAAAAGAAACAATAAAAAATATTTATATAGTAATAATCATTATAACGTCGTAACATTCACAATCCAGGGGGTCTACTCTCGATCTCCGTCCGACATCCGTCCGAAACAATTACTGTCAAATAAGTAATATTCGACAAAATTAAAAGACAAGTATCCAGTATGAAGCTTCATTCGCATCACGCGTCTTTTCATTTGGTCAAGTATTGCTTATTTGGCAGTAATTGTTTCGGACGGTTATCGGACGGAGATCGAGAGCAGACCCCCAGATATTTGTGGTAAAATTTTAACGTTCACAATCTATCAATAACTATTTACGATTTTATAAATTTTTGTTTTTTTAATTTTTTATTTTTTATTGATTTTTTAAATTGTTCATTGTGACTCATAATTATCTTATACACTTCTGACCTGACATTTTTTGTTGTTAATTCACTATTTTATTTTCTAATAATTTATTTGACTCTGTATTTTTATTAATTTGTACGATTTTTAATTTTAAATCCATGACATTAAATCACAATTATGTATATTGTTAATGAATAAATGATTGACTGATTCAAACCTTTAACCGTTACTATGTGAATTGTACCTTACTCGCCTGCAGATTGTATTCAATTTTGCCTCCGCTAAAATACCTAACACACCTTAATCTTTCGGTCCACGATTACAAATATTACAGGAACACGCAGAAAAGTTGGTGCATCAAGACAAAAATGAATGGAACATAACGTACAAGCTCGGCAGCGTGGTCAACCAACAGCTGTGGCTGTCCCACGTCAGCGAATTTGAAACCTATTTGTACACGGTCAGTGTCAAATTTGAGGACCCTGATTGCTTCATGGCTTCTTTGTCGGTGAGTCTCATCTTTTAAAATGTTTACGACTTCTGTTTTTGACTACCGTTATGGCCGAACTGTGAGTGCTATTTGAGAAATTAAGTTTTCTAAAATTAGTTCTGATTTTAGTGTTCTAGGTGACCTTGCGTGATTTTCGTTACTCTTTTCTCTATGAGACCAGGTGACGTAAGCGACTCACCCATCTGTAGCTGTTGCAGTGCCGCTCAGAGCTTTAAATCGCATAGATCAGAGGGGCACTGCTATGGCGCCTGTCACCCTGAGACAAGTTGACAGGTCTCATGTGCCAGTAATTTTACCAACACCGTTACCTTTCAAAACCGGAACGCAGCATACTCATATTACCTTACTTGGCGGCAGAAATGGGTAAGGTAGCAGTACTTCTCTAGAAGAACTATGTACGGAAAGGATATATCCTGTACTATATTTCTGATATTTAATTTTTAATTAAACGCCGTTACTCTCCATGAACGGATTAATAGTAATTAAGATAGAAAGAAAAGTCTGTCTCAGAAATAAATAAAGGAAATTAATTACAGTTAAAATATACAAAATATAATAAAAAAGTTCACAAAAGTTCGTGGATTTACACCTATTTGCCAAGTTTTATTGAAATAGGTTACCGGAAAGTGCGCGAAACCGGATTCATCCCCTAGTTTGCCACTCTTACAGGTGGAATATTTTCTTCAAATTTAAATGGAACCAATACTGAGGTACCATCTTCCCTACAAAAAAAAATCATCAAAATCGGTTTACAAATGCCGGAGTAATCACGTAACATACATACAAAATGAATTGAGAATCTCCTCCTTTTTTCAAGTCGGTTAAAAATGTATAAATAATAGATACCAAGACTATTATCGTAATTTCGAAAATTTCCTAGTTTGAGACCAAGTGGTTGTTTAGCATTATCTGGCATCTTTGTCTTTTAATACTACTAAGTTAAATGTCTAATAATAGTTTTATCATCTTTAAGGTACTGTCATCACAACCGGAACTTATACGAAATGGCTCAATAACAATCTATAACAAAATAACAGGTGAGCCGTATACCTGGTCGGGCGAAATACAAGAAATACCCACAAATATGCCATACGAAAATACCCCACAATTAAAACTAGAGTTGTCCAAGTTGGAACTAGTGCCAAACAGTGCGAGGTTGAAATTGGTGGGGCGAACCCTAGTGCCTGTGTCGCCCGGTAAAGCTGTAGTCGGACAACCACAATTGGATGATATTCATATTATTATTTTTGTTCATATTTTCTAGTATCCTAATAGTTTTTTTAATCCCAAACTGATGCAATGACTACAGGAAAGATACTTAATGTCCGTGTACCCCGCTGAAGTTAACCGACCACAATTACTTGATGTTAAGATTGTTATTCATATTTTCTAGTGCTTCGCTAGTGATTTTTTATGCCACATGTCGCCTTTAAAACTTTTATTAGTACCAAATACTCGACAAATGTGTAGTCTGGCGACATAGGTACACCCATGACCAGTGTTCGACATTTGGATGTAATATAATCATTTTTTGTTCACATATTCTAGTGGTTTTTAACATTATCATTTATAATTTACACGACAATTATCATTGATAAATATACCTTTATTATCTTCGATTTTAAAAATTCATTGTAACAATAACATACTAGAGCTCGCATTGTCGCCCCACGTGTTTGTATCAGAGATGCAACCAAATGTCAATCTCAAAAAAGTCACTAGCTAAATCCTTTTTCCGAAGATTTTTCTGTGTTTATTTAGTTTTCTCACTGTTTGTCATTGCATGGATAATTATGGGATATATATAAATGATAATTATCAGACAATTTATTGAAGAAAATATATATCGTGATAATTTTGAACACTGGTTTTTGGTGCTAGAATAATATTCGTAGGAATAACACCAATTAATCATGTAAGCTGTGCGATAAGTGTGCATTGTTTAAGTTTACAACTTGTGCCTAATTAGGACTAATGATCAAAAGTGTCATTTTTGTAAGGGACCGATAGTGATAATTAGTGTCCTATTCAAACTTGTAAGACTGATTCTAGTGCCATTGACATTTTGTCAATCTCTACATTTATGTAGGCTACTATTATACGTACAAATTGTTTAATATTAAACTTTTACCTCATTAGTGTTATGTAATCGAACAGCACAAATAGTGTTAAGTTTTATTACTTCATCAAAAAGTTAGCATGGTTAAGTAAAGAAAAATGACAAATCGTCAGAAAAAATACTGAAATATTATATCGCAATCGTGATTAGCTTAATATACATATATCCAAACAAACATATTTGTTTTTGGAAGATAGCTCCATGTATTGGACCTTATGTGCTGGTCACCAAACTGACAACTTGCAAAGTTATAACTTTAGTACCAATGTTATAATGTTAGTACTAGAGATGTGCGCCAATCGTAAAATCGTCGGCCGACGTGTCTGATGGTTTTTAGACCGGCGGCGCGTATGGCGTGAATGTGCGACATACATTTTTCGTGTGTTAAACAACACTAAGACATCGTATAAATAAACCTTCATTACCATTTTTTTTTACATTTGAAAGTTAGCAGATAATGTACTGTGGAGTTTGACAGTCCAACAACACCAGAATTCATGCGCCATCCAATGGGACCGGGTGCCTCTCCATTTTAATCTACTAGGAACTTTAATAGGAATTATTATTTTGAAATATGGTGAATAATTAACAAAGAAGCTGATATTTTAATAACATAAAATGAATGTTCGCTACGCCTATTTTACGCCGGTCAAATTCATCGGCAGCTTGGCGCAGATCTCTAGTCAATACCAATGTTATAACGTTAGTGCAATAGATAACACCAATGTTGTAACATTAGTTGTAAGAGTTGATTTTTAAAATATTTAATTAATCGTGTTACAAGTAAGTTTGTTTTTTTTTCTAGAAATATTTTTCCAACAACCAGAATATTCCAATATTCTATCCTATAGCATATAGTTTTAAAATAATGTTTGATTTGATCTCGGTTTCTTGGTTTTTCTAGTTGATTTTTGATTAAAAGTTTTGAATTTTAATTACACTCTTTTATTTGGTATAAGTTACCAGAACTGGCACCGAATTGCAAGCAACAATATTTCCTTTGCAATGTTTTATCTCTTCTAATAGTAGATTATTCAAAGAGGATGTTAAGCAGACACGAGATTTCATATCTCGTATATGAATACGGCTTACATTCGAGGCTTTAGAACAGAATTTTAGATCTATTTTTCACATCGACTGGGAGTAGTACAAAAATAAGAATTAATTGAAAATTACAAGGTACTTTCGCGCCATTATTATAATTTTCTTTTTCTTTACTTCATTATAATATACATATAGAGCATAGAGCGGACACACGGGGACATTAAGTAGCGGTGCAAGCGCGCGGCTGCGCATGAGATGCATCGCCTATAAATCGCAAGTGTAGCGATGCAATCGCGCTTTTCACGAAAACGCGTTTGCAATCGCGCGTTTGTATCGATGCAGTCGCACGAAAACGCGTTTACATCGCTGCTAAAAATCGCCCTGTGAACCACTCTTAAAGGCAAAAAAAATTAAGTATTTAATCAAGCAGCGATCCTTACTGATGTAAGAATATAGTTTCTTTAAATAATTTTGTTTTATTGTGTGACACAACTCGAGGATAACAAATCCTTGAAAGACAAGAATTCAAGTAGGTATTTTATCATGCTACGTTACTTAATGAAAATGCGTCTATCACTGTTATTTTTTTTTTCAGGTTAACTTAAAAGTAAAAACCACTAGCCAGTATCTAGAGCCCAAATTACAAATTTAGTGCACTTATAAATTTATACAGTGCAAATTTTACATCATCGAAATGAAATAATAATATAAATAAATCCATCTAGCAAAATTTTAGTTTTAATTGATTTGTTTATTTTCCTATTCATTAGTGGCAAACAACAAATACGTCTATAAACATAACTTACCCCAGCCGTATTAAAACGTCTTTCATTTAATTTTGGCTTATTTAAGATCTTTGGTTGCAATGATTTTATGTAAAATGTGTGCTTAGTTGGTTCTGGTTCTTATGAAAAAGATTTTAAATAATGTTTTTTTTAAATCTGGGTTTATAATTTTTGACAGTTGACACGAACCCATTTTACAAAACCTAGACTGTCAATCAATGACAGACCTTGAGGTTGTATTTATTAATATTTTGTAAATTATATCCACGATATTTGCATGAACAAAACCCGATAGTAAATTTCCCAATAGTAAATTGTTTTGGAACTATAATAGCTATGCAGCATTTGGAGCGCCGTCCCAGCCCGAAACGGCCCACAGACGGGCCGGGTCCTAGGGGGGTGCCAGACATGTATCACGTAAGTACAAACTATTAACCTACCATCGTTGCCTCAATTACTACGTAACAATAAGCTCCTATAGGGTTTTTCGTTTTGTTATTGACACCTTAAGTGACACCTTGTAAGAGATTTATGCACCTTCTCACTCAGCTGGCACCTTTATACCTACCTACCATTCGTACGTGCTTAAAATGGCCGTGGATTGGACAAATGAACTGGAATTGATTTTTAGATTGTTCTAGCATTTCGTTTCAATAATTTTTTTGTTTATAAAAGCATAATTGTAAATCACCAAAGCGCAAAGTAATCCCGCAGCAGCAACTTCGACGTCCATCTTCGTCCAGCGCGCGAACTATACTGTGAACCACGCGCGAACCTCTGCGAGTGTGAAACTGTGGCAGTTCTTGCCGCGATTCGCGCTGTGATTTCGCGCGCAAGTGTGGAGAGGCCTTTGGAAATAAGCAGTACTTTTGTTTGTGTTTTCCTTGTTACTAAATGTCTTTTTTGTGTTTTCCTGTGTAATAAAATTATTAAATAGAAAAAAAATAGCAAATAACCAAGAAATGCCACCGTCATGAACGGTAGTTTAGCAGCAGTAAAGCTCCTTTTGAAAGAGTTCGTCAAGGGAAGTACTGCCACATTACCTATTTCTGCCGCCAAGCTGTAATGTCAGCATTACTGTGTTCCGGTTTTGAAGGGTTAGGGTGCTGGTGAAATTACAGGCACATGGGACTTGTCAACTTATGTCTCAGGGTGACGTGCGCAGTGGCAGTGCCCCTCATATCTTTGCGATTTAAAGCTCTGAGTGGCACTGCAATGGACAGGCGTGTTGCTAAACATCAGGCGCACAACTTGTTCGTCCCGTCTCTTGATATTATAATATAAAAAAACGGTATTCTCTAAGAATTTTATGTTTACATTTACAGACAGCACAAGTGTTGAATTCGACGTTTCGCTACGTGAGATTCGTTAAAAAACTTCGCATTATCGAGGAAGAATATAGGAAAGGTGAAGAGAACAGGCTCAAGGTCATCAAGGATCAGCAGATTAGCGACTTCTTCATACGATGCGATCGCAAGTACGTATTGTTTCCCTACGCAGCCCTCGTCCTTCTATACTTCCAGGAAAAAGGTTTTAAAGATTTAGGCTTTTGCCTGCAGGCTAACTGTGTATTTAGGGGATTTCCTTTTTTTGCCTTTTTTTAAGGCGAAGGTTGAGCGAAACTGTACCGATATCAACCAGAAATACGTGCGTCGATTCCACGAACACCTTCCCACAAACCTAACTACCGACTGTACAGGCTCGGTAACGCCCATTTCTAATATCGTTCCATGTATAGTTAATGCTAGCGTTACCCTGCCTCCAGAGGGGCTATTGTTCTATCTATTTCCAATACAAAACAGCAATAGGTACTTTTTTAACCTGAGGAAATCTGCTTCCAGATATTCCAGCTCAAGAACAATAAGTCTGCATGAATTTCAAACATACTTTTATTATTGTAAGCACGGCAGATGTATGACTGGGCCGTACCCTGAAAGGGAGTAGCTCGACGACACTAAACCCCGAGATGTTCCACTCTCCGCCGTTGCATAACATCGCTATAGCGTTTCATGGCCTGTCTGCAGTCGTCCGTTCCCGGACCCTCCGATGTGAGAGTAAGGTGTTAGAGGACCTTACGGGGGCGCGCACCAGTCCGATACCTCTCAGCATGGCAAAATCCACGTTCACAGCCTGTAAAGGTCCCCGTTAATATTTACGCAACTAATTCTGACTAACTATAACTAAACCAAACCAATCGAGACGCAAAACGGTTACCAATCGTGAATAAATGTCCATTATACATTTTTCAGGGCTCTAATAAACAAGGTGGCACGTCGCGTCGACCTCTGCTTGCAAGCCTATGAGGAAGATTTGAAAGTTAAAAAGCAGAAGTAAGTTATTAGTTTAGTTAAGTTACTATAGCCAAATTATATCGCGAAGGGTGTGCGACGGAATTGCATGAAATATATATTTTTATTAACCGACTTCAAAAAAAGTTTTGTTATGTGAACCGATTTCGATGATTCTTTTTTTTTTTTGTTGGAGAGAGGGTACCTCAGCAGCGCTCCCATTTTTTTAATAAAATATAAGTGCGTATTTAACCTCCATCTCACCTGATGGAAAGTGACGATGAGATCGACGATGGAGCATCCACACCTAAATAATGCCTTAGCGTTCAGGGAACAAGTGTGCAGGCAAGGAGTTCCACTCCATAGCCGTTCGCCATACTAGAAGACGTCGTTTCGAATCCGGCCGGATCGCAGGAAATTTTTCTGAGTGTTCGATGTTTGTATTAATAATTATAACAACGTCATGTTCAACTTAACTTGTTATCGGTTATACATTCAGCTATTTTTTAAATAATTGGAAGTTGAACTAACAGGATGAATTTCGTCCAATAAGTTAAACTTTTTGAAAAGATGTACCTAGTTGAACTTATTGGAATATTTGTGTCCGATTAGTTCAACTGATTGAACTTATAGTTAAACTTGGTGGAATAGATCGAGGTTCGGCAGCCTTATGTTATGGATATACCCAAGATTCGCACGAACCGTTACACTACCATTTCGACCCCTGCGACGTAAAGTATCGTATGTCGAAATTGCCAAGTTTACAGGGAAGCGTTTTAAAGATCTGAATTCACTGAAACGAACATAACACGTGACTTTAGCATTTCTCAGTTTTATTCGGCAAAGCTCATTACTCACATAGAGTATTATAAAATCCTAGATATAGGTTAGATGATCTATGGTGATCACTCTTTCAGTGAATTCAGAACTTTAAAACGCTCCCCTGTAAACTTGGCACTTTCGCCATACGATACTTTACGTAGGAGGGGTCGATTTATACTACCATTTATATTTAGTCGCAGTAGAGCTCCTTGTGAAAGAAGTACTGCCATCTTTCCAATTATTGCCGCAAAACAGCAATGTGAGCATTACTGCGATCTGGTTTTTAAGGGTAAGGTGCTGGTGAAATTACAGGCACATGGGACTCGGTTACTTATGTCCCCGAATGACGGGCGTAGTGGCAATGCCCCTCGGATCTTTGCGATCTAAAAGCTCTGAGTGGCACTGCAGTTGCTTCGGACAGGCGTGTCGCTTACCACCATGCGCACGACTTGTTCGTCCCGTCATATAAAAAAATGTGATTTCTGTGCATCGAGTATAATAACCAGAAATAGAGACGAAATAAGGACCATCCATCGCTGGCAACTCATCAGGCAAACAGGCCTTATATCACTTTGGAATATCATTTCTCGTTTGCGCTGAAATCACAAATTAGAAAGCTGAAATAGTACCAAAACTGACCTGTGTGTACGTCTCTATGTATCTCAAAAATATTCTATATTTATTGTAATAAAGATAATATCTCTAACAATGGGGAGCTGTTCCTTTCGGTGGTGTAGGAAAAATTGCAAAATAAACGGAATCACATTTCATCGGTAATTAAATATGCAATTTTTAAATTTTCGTCCATTATAGAAAAGCTCAAGTTAAACTGGTCGATATGAAGTGAAACAATTGACGATACCCATCAATTGTTTCGAATCCGGGCTGGACAATCGCAGTTGTCACCGTAATGATTTGGCAGAATAGTTTTCAAACAAATTAATTGACATTTCGTCTCTATTTGGTTATATACTCGATGTTTCTCTGTATTGTGGAGTGATATAAGTTTGTTTATATCTACTGTAACTTTCGTATTATATATTTCAGATTAAAAGATATATTCGCTGAAGAAGAAGAAGCGAACATACGCAAGTTCGTGGAGCAGGCGCAATCCGGAGCTGAACTCATATGGCAAGACAAACAGGAAAGACTCAAGTTCTTGCTCGAAAAGCGCAGGAAGGAACATGAGGAGAAATATAAGGATACTCCACTGTACGTAGTGATTTAAGGAGAAACTTTAAAAGTACATTCTTAATCACAGGAGAAGCCGGTGTTTAAACAACCAATATTATGCTATTTTGTAGCAGTAGAGCTTTTTATGAAAGAGCTCGTCCAGGGAAATACTGCCACCTTACCTATTTCTGCCGCCAAGCAGTAATGTGAGCATTACTGCTTTTCGGTTTTGCCAAATGATGTCTCAAGGTGACGGGCGCAGAGCAGTGCCCCAGATATCTTTGTACTTTAAAGCTTTGAATGGCACTGCAACAGTAATTATGGACAGGCGTGTCGCTTGATTGTTGTTCTTAAAGTTCGCGACTAGAACTGCCTAATTCACGACTTTTTCTGGGTACAATCAGATCTAAGCAAAGGAGCTGTGGTTCTCGAGATTCAAAAATGGTGTCGCCGGAATGAGCTTATTCCAGAGTGGACAATAAAACACCCTTAATACTTTTGAACGGTGGACCGACTAAATCTAGTTTATTGCGACTAGAACCGCCTAAATAACAACTTTTCATCTGACTACACATATTTCGAAAACTGGACTATGGTTACGCTGGAGTAAAGCACACTTGTGAAATTACAGGAACATGGGACTTTAAACTTATGTCTCAGGGTGACGGGCGCAATGGCAGTGCCTCTCAGATCTTTGAGATTTAAAGCTCTGGGTGGCACTACAACTGTTTTGAATAGGCGTGTCGCTTACACACACACAGGCACACGATTTGTTCGTCCCGTCATTTAGTATCACAAAAGAAACAATATTCAGTATATAGTCGATAGAATACTCATCGACTGCAATCACTAACCGCTTGCAAGGATCTAACACTTCTGGGTAGTGCACCGGAGTAAATTCCGCTGCTCTGGTATGCATAATACAGGGAGACCAGATGATTTGTGTGGCTGTCTAGTATTTTTATTATTATTATTAATTACTAGTAGCAGTAGAACTCCTTCTGAAAGAGTTAATCCAGGTTAGTACTGCCACCTTACCTATTTCTGAAGCGAAGTAATAATGTTAGCATTACTGCGTCCCGTGGCACTGCACCTGTTCTAAACAGGTGTGTAGCTTACCATCAGGCGGATGACTTGTTCTACCTGTCGCTTGATATTATAAAAAAACACTTGTTGTCATTAAAACTTCCGAATTTTCAGATCGAAATGCACGCACGTTACACCATGTCTGTTCAAAATCCGAGCCAAGGAAGCTCAAGAAGTGCAGTTGTACCAAATGCGAGAGAAACAAGCGCGAAAGTTGGCTGAGAAGGAATTTGATAACATGTGGTATGCAGTTGCTATGAAGGAGGCTGAAGCTCTGGTATGCTTTTAGAACTTTTTACTTTTGATTGGTTGATCACAGTAAGGCACAATTTACCTTGCCGAGGAAGGGAATGAAAACGAAATATTGTAACAAAATTGTACATTGCATTATGAACTTTATCTCAATTGTGTAACGTACCAACTAAATACGATACCGTAGCTACGTGAGCATTCTCCGAAAACGCACGACCTGTTTTTTTTTGTCACGGCCTCTACACACTAGATTACATTTCCGATGTGAGTCGATCTATCTTCGGAAAAGTTATGTCCCGAGTGATATGGATATTGGCTATGTTTACTTTGAGATTTCGCACTGCTATTAAGAAAACTCTTTTCAAAATTAATAAAAATACTGAATGAAATCAATTGCCTGCAGTGCCTCAGCTCGTTATATAAAAATAAATAAATAAATAATTAACATAGCACAGTATATTCAAATTCCAGGCAGCACGAATGGAAGTAGACGCCATCGAACTGTACCGCAATAACCTGGATTGCTTGAAAAACAGCGACGAGCAGCTGGAAGCTCGTCGTCGACAGAGGGAGAAGGACCGCGAAATGCTCAAACGGCAACAGCTGGAAATGCAGCAGGAGTTTGAAAGGGACATGGAGAAAGAAAGGGAAGGTTCGTTTTTTTTATACGTGAAGAGTTAAGCGCGCAGGTTGCGAGACGCGAGGGAGGGCTAGTCGGAGTCCAAATTCGTGTTATAAATTTCAACCTGACATTATCAACATCTTATTTATCCAATATTTTTCTTACAGAGCAACGCAATCGGCTCCAAAAGCGGTTGGACACGGCCAGGGAACTCGATGAGACGGCCGCCCTACGCGCGCAAACTCTTGCTAAACGAGAGGTAACGGCTATTACCCACAATTAAAAATACACCGTTTATTTCTCTTTCCGCAAAAAGTTATAAGTAGGTACTTACTAAAAGAACTTACGAAACAGAGTACATATTCTGTGGAAAGCAGGAGCCAAAAGTAAATCAAAATATTTGTATTTTAGATCTCCAGGTCTCCCAGCTCAGATTATAATTACATAATTATGTTCTTAAATATGTACTATAAGCCTATACAGAGAAGATACACTTGTGTAAGTGTGTGTATGTCAGTGTGTGTGTGTGCCTGTGTGCCTGTGTATGGGCGCGTGCGTGTGCGTGCGTGCGTGCGTGCGTGCGTGCGTGCGTGTGTGTGTGTATGTGTGTGTGTGTGTGTGTGTGTTTAAAATGGTATTTCAAATTTTTTCAGTATTGTCATAGTTTAACGTTTGTCCGTATAAATTAATTTCCTTTCTAACTTCTATTTTAATATTTTATGTCTAAGGACTTGAGAGTTTTATGACGCCTGAATTTAAAGAAACTGCGTAAACAGTTATTGGAGAACCTACTGCCTGAGAAATCTAGAAAAATACAAATAAGAAGCTAGAAAAGTGCGCCGGCTTTTTTCGGAAATGTTTTACTGTTTTATTTTAGTGAAAAAGCGCAAAAATATCGGGTTTTTGAACAAGGATCTAACAATTTTGTATTTCAATAAAATACTTAATAACTGGGATATCCAGCTGGAATTTATGTTAAATTGAATAAGGGAATACCATCTCGTTCTCATTCATTGTTGTGGCAGACATTCAAACAATATTTGTGCTACAAAAAAGAGCTGTACGTGCAATTTATAACTTAGGTCGCCGTGATATTTTAAGGGAAAGATTTAAAGAATCAAATATTTTAACTCTGCCAAGTCAATTTATATTTGCAAATACAGTACGTACGTTCGCAGAAATGTAGCATTACTTCCGAAAAACAGTGATAGGCGTAACCATAATCTTAGAAACAACAATGAACTTGCGATCCCTATACTCAGACTTGATAAAGTTAGCTCGTCATTTGTAGGGTACTGTATACGTTTTTATAATAAAATTCCAGAAATTGTACAAAATTTATCAGAAAATATGTTTAAAGCTCATATTAAAAATGTACTAGTTAGAAAAGCTTATTATATAATCTCAGTACAGAGAACTAAAAAAACCGACCTCAAAAGTACGTGGAATTACATATAATTACCAACTTATTGAAATCGGTTACCGGGTAGTGCGCAAACCCGGATTCATCCCCTAGGTCGCCACTAAAATATAATAAAAATCGGTTCTTACGTCTCAAAGTATCTTGAGAGAGAAAAACGCCTTGAATTGGAGAATAACAAAATCATGCATTAAATTAATTGCTGCTTATAATAAAATTTAGGCGCTATTTATAAAAATGAATCTTTATGCGTGAACAGCCACCCTTTGAGGTGGATGATTTTCATCAAAATTAAATGGGACCACTACGGAGATACCCTTTTTCCAACAAAAAAAGAATCATGAAAACAACGTAATTTTAATAGATTTTATTATTACATACTTTTCTTAACAGTCAAAATTCTCTGAATGTAAATAACATTAAGTACTTAAACATTATACTACGATAGGACGATTCGGAATATCAAAAAAGAAAGAGATGGCATTATATAATTCACATAGCGTTATCTCTTTCCTATGTTTAGTAAGGAATAGACAATATTGGGAAATCGTTCGTTCTTTCAATCACTTTTGCAATAATACATTACTTGGCTGACAGGTTCGTCATGGTACGAATATAAGTAATATTACACAATAAGCTTACTTTAAGCTTATATTGAAATAAGATTGTTTTTGGAAAGGTTATGGTAGGCCCCCAGGTTTTCTGCCATTACCATATGGTGAGCGATCGCAGCCCAGTAAGCCATGTCAAAATACATATACCTAACTCTAAATACTTTGTAAAAAGTAACAAGTAAAAGTGTGAAATGTAAAGCAAATAATGTAAACAGTGTAAGTAATGTAGGTAAGCAATATAAATAGTAATGTAAGTTTACAAACATAATATTAAATTACAACAATAGCCACCAAATATGAATATATATAGGTACGGAAATTCATATTTTCAGATGATAAATTATTTTATAAATCTCTTACACGCTTTGTTAAACACTTTGCTCCTTATTTCATTTATATTTTACATCTGCCTCTGTGACCGAAAGTTTACCATGCTGGGCTGCCACGCTGAGGACCCGGGTTCGATTCCCGGGCCAGAAGAAATCTTTGTGTGGCCTGCATTTATTTATACCGTGAGTTTCATTTGTGTGTGTGTCCACACAACACAGACTACCCGCAGTGCGGGGTGTCCCAAGTGCGGAGCTGAGTGTCAAAAAAAAATGGTACTCACGGTGCAGGGTTTTCCATTTGCAGGGCTATGAGTGTGTGCGTTATTATATATTTTTAAATGTGGAAATTGGGAATTTGATTACTCATCGTTATTTTATAACTATACTAGTAATTAAAACACGAATTTTCTTAAAATATATAAAAAGAAAGTCATGATGTCATGACATCTCAAATTTTCTATTCAAGATGCTATGTTTTATAATAATATAAAGATGTTATGTTTTAGGCCGAAGCTAAGCACATAGAAGAGACCTGGAAATCGCTTGCCGGGCAAGGCTTAGCCGACGAGCTGGCCAAAATCGAATATATGAAGAAGAAAGAGGTAAACATATTTTTGATTCATTTGTATGAACTGTCGCGTTTTTAAAGATGTATTGGAAACTACCAATCCTTATATAGTCTTTCTGTCTGTCTGATTGCATGTCACAGCGATTCCCATCGTTATTTTATCCTGCTTTGGTCACAAAATTGTGTGAAGACAAAGGAAAATAATTTTTAATTAAGAGTATTGAAAAACCGATCTCGAAAGTTCTTGGAATTACATCTACATATTCTATTTGCCAAGTTTTATTGAAATCGGTTACCGGAAAGTGCAGGAAACCGGATTCGTCCCCTAGTTTGCCACCCTTAGAGGTGGAATATTTTCAAATTTAAATGGAACCACTACCGAGGTATCATCTTTTCAACAAGAAAAGAATTATTAAAATCGGTTCACAAATGTCGAAGTTAAGTGACATACGTACAAAAAAACGATCGAATTCAGAACCTCCTCCGTTTTTTGAAGTCTGTTATAAACAAAATGAGCATATACGAAATACTCCCGGTTGGTTTTTATCTCTATCTAGCCACCACCGGCACAAAACCATCAGAATCAAATTGTAAATAACA